CTGGGTTGCCGATCCTGATTCTCTTTTGACCTGGTTGTTTAAGGATGTTGAGCGTCTCCAAAGAATCTATACATCTACTTGTACAGGTATTAAGGGTAAACTCATCGCAGCTAACGACAGGACCCAAACGTTTATTCCTACCACTGGAGTAACAGTCTGACCTCAGTAGTCACCAATTTACTGGTCTCGGCTTCCGTCCGCACCCTAATGTGCTTCGTTGATCCTGGATGAGAGAAACGCGGGCAAGTTTTGAGCCTTATATGACTACGCTGACCTCGTCTCACCTGATTGCTTGGTTCTGGAGCAGTGTGAATTTCCTTCTGGACCGACCGTAGCCATATTTCCTAGCCTGTTGTGGGCGTGTATCTGATTCGATCGATCCGTCATGCCTGGTACACCCGCCTCCTGGAACACTACCGCCCAAGCGTTCGCTGGAACTGAATTAACCCGAACCACCAGGCTTGCATACTGATGACACCTTTTTCCTTCCCCTTTTTAGATTAGCAACTCAAAGTGGATTACTAATAAGTAGACGGATTTGGTTATGATTCGATTTGGCTCATTGCAATTAGCTTCCGATGGCTGCGTACCACTGACGCGCCCCAATAGGGCGAAACGCGCGTCTGGTGCTTTTCCGGATTGGTAGCTTACCCATGCGGCTTGGAATCTAATTACGATGAACCAACTCCAATCATACCCAAATCCGTCTACTCATTAGTAATCAAAATCTAAACCCTACCGATTTTCAAAATTGCTCTGTGGATTCTCGGCGCTGGTAAAGGAAGACCTGACCATGAGGGCCAACCACTGTCCTCTGCACGGGCAATAACTTGCACGGCAGTGGAGGATGGGTCGGGCTATATCGCAGTTAGGTTTCAGTTTGTAATGGTCGGCTGTCCGCCCCCATGGCTCAGTGACATAAGCTTCTGACTAGTTGACGTTAGCCTCGAGCAGCCATTAGTTCGATCCCCAGTAGGGTACCGATGGATGCGCACCACTGACGAGCCCCAATAGGGCAAAACGCGCGGCTGGTGCTTTTCCGGGTTAGTAGCTTACCTATGCGGCTTGGAATCTAATTGCAATGAACTAAATCCAATCAAATTGGATTAGTTCCTTTGACTTGGGTATGTAGTACTCCCTCCATCCTTGATGTAGAATGCTCTAAGAATCTAGGTGCAATTATTGGTCTGGTAGCGAAACTAAGACTAACTATTAAACTGCAGGTAGGCGATCCACTTCATTTTCGAGCTGAACTTCACGCGCCCTACTAGGCGCTTGAATCGAGACCTTATTTTACATATCTCGTGATTGGTATTGTTGATTTATTTTCCGCCGTGTTGTAGCTCGACAGCATATTTAACCTTCGTGTGATGCAGAGCCGTTTGTGAAATAGAGTTGGTCATTACGCGAGCCAGTAAAAACCGCAACTAGGCTGCCTCGCCGATGTCTACTTATCCTCACGCGATATCTCTTTATTTCTGACCACGTCTACGTAGGGCATCAGATATCCCCTATCTCCTATTATTATGCGCCATCTGTAAGGTTGTCCTTTTTCTGGCGGCGGGGTATCAGTACTAAGTGCTGCTGTACTTCTGTTGTTGGTTCCATTGTTATATAATGGGGCGAAGCTGCAGGATAAGCAGCCTCATAATGTAGTTAATAACCTGCCAAATCCGATTGAACGATTCCGTCATTTTGGCCCTTCTCGTTTTCTTCCATGAGAATCTCAAGACCATCCACCGAGGCGGATGAAGGCCTTATTTGACGTGGCGCGGTTGCGGAATTAAAGACTTTTCTGCATTCCTCCTTTTGTATGCAACAGTTAACTCTGTCATCCTTTCCTCCCTAATTCCTCAACTACACTTTTTTCCTTTCCCGATCACTGTCAATTAATATTTTTGCTCCCAACAATACGAATCATGGAAACCAGATCCGTCTACTCATAACTTGATCAAGTGCGTTTCTGTCCTCGTATCATTGTTGTTTAACTCAGATGAACAGAACTCTTGATTGCACATCAAGTACGGTGCATCTTATCTAGTTATACACTTCGCATTCTACATTGTGTTCAAAGTAGTATGTTATTACGCACCCGTGGTACGGACTCAAATATTCTCATGCGCAATAAAAGCACTACACCGTATGGCACTCTCAGTGAACCTGCCACTTCCAAGTCGTGACACAGCAGGGTTTCGCGAACAAACTCACCCCGCCAAAACGCACGCCCTGCGTAATGCATCATTTGTACTATAAATAATAGGCTATCTCAACCTGTGTCTCTTTTCTTCTGAGTCAGTAAAAGCTCGGATGCGAGAGATCTGTCTTTCTTTATTCTCTTTGGTACGGAGTGCAGTCTTTGGGACACGTTTCGCGCTTCAGTCAATTGGCAGAGTTTCCCTCATCGTCCATACAGCGTCTAGGTTTCGCGCAAACCTTATCACGTAATCAATCCGAATTGTGTAATCGTCTATTCGACGCTTGAGAGCGAGCGTTTCAATGAGTGCATCCATCTAAAAGATGGTCCATAACAGTTATATGCGCCAACCTTCCAGTACTACCAACAAGGCGCCTTCCACTTTGTCTATACACTTGTGTCACGGTTTCTCGCGGCCCATCAGGGTTCTGTAGGTTCTATCACAGCTTCATGTTTTTTACAAGATTTGGTATCCATCTGCACCGTGCTTTTCTACACTAAACGGAATGCTCAAACCAAATCCCTTCTCCTGACTTCGCGCCCTGGCGGCGGTGTGTGTGGTACATTGCTACTAATGTCTTAGGCTCAAAAATCGGTACTTCAAATACTGGTTTGTCACTGAGTAAGATTTTCTAACTGGCTGTACACCAAGAAAAGTCGTTGCGCGTATAAGCGATTATGTGGAAATTTTCAAAATCCTGCCTCCACATTAAACAGACGACCACGGACATGTTCATCCTCAGTTCCCAGCTATTCGGGATTTCGGCAATCCCAAAGGGATTATACTGCTTCAACTTGCCTGTCGCTTCTCACAGGTTGAGTAGCGCCCGTGAAAACCAGATTCGTGAAAAACAAACTGGGCTTCGTCCATATCCATACATCATTGACCACATCATCACCTTACGTCAGTTGTTGAAGCAATGCCACTTACATTGGCGGTCCACATGAGGCGAGTTTCTCGACATGGGGTCTTCAAATCGGTGAATTAATTTACTTTCTAAGATTGGTTGATTGGGAAAAGGGTGCTTGAGAAATACGTAATCATTATCCTTGTGCTTTACTGCCCAGTTCGAGCAAGGTGCTATCCATCATCAAAGCGCAACATTTTCATGCGACATTGCGAGGGACCATCCTATGCATAGACTATTGGTGAAGTTCAGCTATAAGTCGTTCAAAATTCAGCTATTTGGGCAGCTATATCAGCGCTCATGAAAGACAGGATGAAGGAACGTACAGCATACCAATGGCCTTAGCCGCTTTTGCTACTTATTGCATCGGCGTGACATCACTCTTGCTTTGAATAGTAGATCATGCAATGCAGCCTTCCATGTAAGCCTACTATACGGTCGCGAATCCTAGCCCATTAGATCACTGGGCATAAAAAGCCTAGTTGTGTTCGATCGCTAGTGCGTTTACAGTTTAACTCACATCTTTTGAGAACACCATGTGATCAGTGAGTATGTTCGGCGTCTTTTTCTGTGACGCAGGCAAGCGCCGTTATTTCATGCACCAGAAGGCTCTGATGGCAAAAGGCCTGTTTTGAGCTTTTATCACCTGTCTACACATGTGTTGTTTGGATGACCGGAGTCTGGATGGAAAAGGTGAGACGTCAGTCGATGATTTAATCAAGTAGCTTGAAAGTTTTAAATACTTATTCGGCCACGGTTGGTATTTCCGAACTCCTTCGTTCAGGTATCAAAGACGATTTGCACGTTTGGTTAGAGAGACTTGCTTATATGACCAAGAGCCGACTTCAGTGTTGTTTTTTTGTCTCTCTCCTTCCCGTTTAGCGTCCCATTCCAACCGTAATCTCAACATCGATGCCTTATACAAACTGCCTTATATTATTTGTCTTGTATTTTCTTTGCTCTCTTTTCTTCTACGGTCATACACCTGGCTTCTATTGGGGCACAATAACTGAGCTGATTTTCACCTCTAGCTGACGTGTACGACGATTTTGAAATCGTACTGCTCTGTCCGTTCCCGGTGGTCACTCCGGTATTGTAAGTTGGGCACCGTTATTAGCCAGTTCATTACCCGTCCCACGTGACTGTCATTGCACAAGAAGAACTAGACAACTACGTAGAAACGAATCGAGTAATGTATTTATTTCTCCCTGAGCATCGAATTGCACTCCATTTTCCGAACTTATCCACTTTTCGTACATTTGAAATCTGTCGCCTACTCCTATATGTATGACGTGACGCGGTCGTTGTTGCCCTATACGATACGCTCCTTAATTACCCCATAGTATCTGAATAACGCACCTGGTGACAAGCACTCCTGAGCAAACGTGGAAATCTTGTTCCCCTATGCCAGTGGGTCCCATTGGCTAATAGATGACTACTGTGGCCATCCCTTTTCGGGTGCGTCAGCTCTTCTTCCTCTCTGTCATTTTTTAAAACTTGATTGTTGACTCAACCTGTGGGCTTACATCAGTACTATCATTTCGGCAAATGAGCTAAAACATCATCGTTGAACCCCGCTGCTAATTTGTATAGTTAGAAAAGCGGTGCATTCATCTAAATGATGGACTCTAATAGGATTTGCTTGCCCGAAAGATCCAGTCGAATGCTACCCTGCAAAATATGCTCCTACGTTTATGATGCCATGAGTTTCGGGCATCAAACTGGCTTCTCTAACCATACTTCGAGGCTTTTGAAATGTCTCCGTACTGCAGTTTACACACTCAGGAGGCTTGTGTTAGTCTTATATGCATGATGGATTTCTCGAACGTCGTTTTGCTCTCTACGGTGCCGTTTTCAGCCCTCATGTTCCGCTATTGATCTTTACCTTCGCCTCCCAGGTGGACTCAAATCAAACAACGAGCTCCGGACGGTACTTGACGAAATCACCAAAATTGACTCCCGCTTTGATACCGAAAGCTTCTTACGCTATTGCAGGTTCGTGGTGATTCCTAATGTGCTAGAGGTAAGTCGGCAATCTCAAATCCCCTTATATAATTTTCTACTCGCTGCATACTATCATCCTCGGTTCACACAATCTTCACTTGTTTTTGTACTCCTTACACACATCCACTTACGGCTGGACGAAGTGCTCCTGCCACATAGTAGTTACCGTTCTCTGTGCTCCAAGTTCTATGTCACACTAACTTGAGTTTTTGTGGGCAGAATCTACCTCGGACTCTCACCGCCTCTATCTATTCTGTCATATTTTAAGGTAATTGGCGAACATTGGTTTCCACTAATACTGCGTGGCTTTCGAATTTATACTCATATTTCCATTGTGTTTTTGTATTTTAGTTTTTCTCCACTTTCCATTCCGAAATAAATAATATTCTACTCGCACCTTCTTGTTGATTAAGTCAGCTATTTCAACGCATCCTCACCCTTGTACTTAATTGTACTGTCAAATCTCTCCCAAAGTGGGAGGTATGACACGAGCTTCCCACGTCGGCTCTATGTTCCCCCCAAAAAACTGGTCGACTCGACCGAGTGTGAATTAATTGTCCACCTTTTTCAGCTATTAACTGAGTACTCATCGGAAACTGTTTGCATGTTTTGATCAGACTGATCGACGCCTCAGGGATGCATTCGCAGTTGAGACATCTTAAGTTAGACATCAGAAGCATTCTTCATGACACACTTGAGACGATTCCAGTCGGCGTGCCGCTCACCAGCGTCATTCGTTACCGATATTTGGTGGTCCAGTTCCTCATGATATCGTCGGACTGCAGACTGCGGATTCAAGTTGCAAGTGAGAAGTTTGAAATTTGGGCGCTTCTTTGGAACGCGAAGAGTGAGCACCAGTCATGCACACACAAGGGTATGTCGAAATCCGAGCACGTACTACAAGTGGAGAAAAATATTGTTCCGATGTGCGCCAAATGCACCTGATGGTAGTATGGTCAATTTGGGCCCAGATAATCATTCTGTGGGTGCCAAGTGACGCGATGTGAACGTTTGTGCTGGAAAGCAGTGCTCATCATCATCATTATACATGTTAGCTAGAGGGGGAAAACGCCTCAGCTATTGTGCCGCATTGCTGCTAATATACAGATTGTGGTCGACGCACAGCTGCATGAATCAATCGTCATTGTCTGTTCACTGTGCATCGGCACCGAAGCGACCTTCTAGGTATAGTTCTGCATCTGAGAGACAACTCACTTGAGAATTCACACCACCAACAACAATCAAAATATCGATATTTTACGTCTTGTGGCCTAGAGTTCACGTTAAAAATCGTTTTTTATGCCCTCCAATATTCACATGGTAGGTACCAAACAGTGATGAAGTAAAGTCGTTTTATCTTCAGACGGTGCTAATATCAGTTCAGTCTGACGGCACACATGCGACTGTTCACTGGTATTCAGTCGAGTAGATTGCCTTCAACATGTTTGCTGAAACCGATACTGACACCATAAATACCTTGAACCATTGACTCAGTATCTCCAAAGACAAAGTGTAGTAATTGTCGGCAGATCCAGAACTGGAAAGTAGCAGATTCATCATGGCGTTGTTATCTTGTATGTGTTTCTAAGACATAGCACACATCAATACCAAGAAGTTGAGGAGTGAGAATTAATGCTGCCTGTTGACCGATCTGACCCAGAACGCGAACTTTAAACGAACCACTGAAATGTGATGCTTGGTTCAAGGGACGAATTACATGTACCGATGGAAGCAGCTGCGAGGTCAGTGGCAGTCTTGCTCAGTAGACACAGAAGAAGAGGTTTGAAGAGAGAAATAGGAAGGAGTGTGGTGAGTGTGAGGCTGGACCTTACCGTGGTGCGATGGTTTGCGTACCTCAGAGATCCATTGAGCTATGCTGGGTGTTGATTTTTTGCACCTTCAGAGCCACTCATACCAGATTGGTCAATGGTTAGAGGCCAGACAAACTCAACTTCCTGGTCCTCCAGGTTGGGGTTTGGAATTAGGGTGGCTCCTTATTTCATAAAACGGGTTCTCTGTAGTCCAGTGCTAAAACCCGATGCCTTGCGGTAAGGTTTTTGAACCTCCGGCTTTGGTTGAGAACCCTAATCGTTCTCCTGTCTAGGCCTGGGCAACCTGACAGTATTCTGCCCGCGCAATACAATGAACCCTTCATCAAACAATTTCTTGATGCTCTGGCCGTCACAGAGGATAATCAACGGTGACCTGTCTGCTGCATCGAGCAGGGTAGATAGGGGTATAGATGCTACTGCTCAGGCCTTCCCGTCTTCTTATACCCCTTCTTGCTCTTTTTCATCCCTATCGTCCCGTTCCAACTTTACTTTTATCCCCCCATTTTCAAAACCCCCCAATTCTTGGCCCTCCCCCAGCTTGCTTCAGTAGTCGCTTGTCTTCTAGTTTCAAATCACACACAGTCACAGGCGTCGCTCCAATCCAGTCGACAAGTCCATGTTCAACCAAGCGGACAACGTCAGTTCATCCGTTTCCCTTTGGAGTCCTCGCGTCTCTAAGACTGATATGCTTCAACGTACGCACTTTGCTACAGATTGGCCAGCAGACAGCACTTGCCCACACACTAGAGATCCTATCGATCGATATTTGCTGTTTATCAGAAACCCGCCTGAAAGATTAGAGCTCCGTGGTTACCCTGCGAGCCCCCACTGCGACACTGGCGGCACATTCTCATTGCGCCTGTCTGGCGATGATGCAGCTTCAAATGCCGGTCAAGCTGGCGTCGGCATTGTTTTGCGTCCCCAGGCTGATATTGCCCTGATCGATTGGATCCCAGTAAACAGTAGGATGTGCGCCGTTAGATTAGCTGGTTCGTTCCGTGCTACGAAGTCGCGCGGGGACAAATGGTGCCTGTTTGTCATTGCGGCCTACGCCCCTACGAACTGTAGCACTGATTCGGTAAAAGATGATTCCTATCAGCAACTGCACGAGCTCCTTCGTTACAGAAGAAGCACGGATACTGTGGTGTTGGCTGACGATCTAAACGTCCAAGTCGGAAAATTGTCCTCTGATGAGCTTCATCTTTGCTCCTAACATGGTGTAGGTTCCCGTAATGATAACGGTGAGCGATTGCTACAGCTGTGTGCAGATGCTCGCCACTTTCTTGCGAGCACAAACTTTCGACACAGCACCCGCAGAAGTGTGACTTGGCGGCCACCAGCCTCGGGCCAGCCATGGGTCCAAATCGATCATCTCGCAATCAGTTACCGCTGGAGAGGCTGTGTCCAAAACTGTCTCTCGATTTGGATCACGAGCGTGGACTCTGACCACGCACTTGTCTGTGCCGACCTCCGGGTGCGTCTCGGTGAACGTCCGCAACGTCGATGTGAACGGATTGACACCAGCCGGCTGGCGAAGCCAGGTGTTCTGAATGTCTATCAAAGTGCGCTGACATCTGGGCTGAGTAAGCGCCCACTAAACACCGTCAAAGATCACTGGTCGCATATTCGTAAAACGTTACTGTTAGCAGGCATGTCTTCATGTGGCAAATAAAATTGTGAAACTGGACATTGGGTCTCTACACAGTCTCTGGAACTTATGGATGCTCGCCGATGTACTTCAACTCGAAGCGAATACAATAAGCCTCGCAAAAATCTCAAGGCAGAACTACGTGCTAGCCTGAAGAAAAACCGCGAAGCCAGGTGGTCTCATCGTGCCTCGGAGATGGAAACAACCGCTACCCTTTGTAATCATCGTAAGTTATTCCGTCTGACTCGGGAATCAAATAGCAGGAGATTTGGTGTTAGCGAGACAATACGCGGTGAAAGTGGACAGCCGATTTGCAGCTTGTCAAAACGCTTGGAGCGTTGTGCCATACACTTTGCAACGCAGTTAAACCAATCGGAGTTATCGTTTTCTCTTTCGGGCATTGAGCGCCCTTCTCCCTGGACCGTCCCTTGAATCCACACTCACTCGCAGAAGTCGAACATGAGATCAGGCTGTTGAAATTGCATAAGGCCGCGAAGTCAGATAGAATTCCCCCAACCCTCTTCAAATTCGAGGACCTGCTCTAATAGATGATTTACACGAATTGCTAGTGAAACTTTGGGAGCAGAAAACTGTATCGACAGACTGGAGCCGCTCCGGCACAGTCCCAATTTTCAAGGAGGCTCCAGTTCAGAATGCGACAATCATAGAGGGATCAGTCCGATCTCAATTGCCTCCAAATTGCTTGCCGATGTCATTCTTCACTGACTGACTGGAACTCGTGTAAGCCAGATTCGTGAAGAGCAAGCCGGATTTCGTCGAGGTCGGGGCTGCATCGACCACATCTTCACTTTGCGTCGATTGTTGGACCACCGCCGTGTTTATTCTCGACCCACCTTTGTCGTGTTTTTTGACATAAATGGTACTTTCGACTCAGTCGATCGATGTGCCCTTTGGGACTGTCTGCTGAGGAAGGTGTGCCTGATAAATACGTAAACATTATCAAAGGGCTGTACGCGCATAGTTCGAGCAGAGTTAGGGTTTGTGGCAAAACTGTCGCCACCCTTCAGTATCACCAGCGGTGTGAGACAAGGATGCCCGCTGTCACCTTTCCTCTTTGAATTCGCAGTTGACAGCGTTCGCTGGACTCGAGCTAGAAGGTGTGGAGCTACTTCCTGGTGAGCGACTTCTTGACTTGGAGTAGGCGGACGATATTGCCCTAATCTGTGACAGCGCCCAAACATGCCAAGCAACACTGGACCGATTAGCACTGGCTGTCTATCATTTTGGGCTATGCTTTGCTCCACCGAAATACTAAGTTCTTCTCCAAGATTGGCAGGGACCCACCCCTGCGCTAACGCTTTGTGGTGATCAGCTAGAAGTCGTTCAGGATTTCAAGTATCTGGGAAGCTATATTAGTGCCCGTGGAATCGAAGCTTACCTTACGAACCGTATAGCAAAAGCTCTAGGTGCTTTTGTCAATCTCTGCCACCTGTGACGCAGACGCGACATTACTTTCGCTCTGAATTGCAGAGTTTATAGCCAAGCCGTCCGTTCAACTCTTCCATATGGTTGTGAAACCTGGCACATCAGGTCGACAGACATAAAGAGGCTAGTCACATTGGATCATCGCTGCCTTCGCAGCTTAGCTCATGTCTGGTGGGAGCACCGCGTGAGCAATGAGCGTGTTCGGCGTCCCATATTTGATGCAGGAAGAGCGAGTGAAGCGCTCAGCACCATTATCTCACACACCAGACTCTGGTGGCTGGGCCACGTGTTTCGCATGCCAGCACACCGACTTCCGCGACGTGCATTATTTGCGCGCCGGCCGTGCGGTTGGAATATGAGGAGGGGAAGCCAAGCGATGACTTGGTCGAAGGAAATAAAGACCTTTACTTCGAAGTTGGCGTCGGTTGTGCATCCCGACTGTCTGGCTGGGGTCCTAAGGTCGATGAACACATTTGGTTGGATATGGCTAGGAGCCGGCCCCCAATGGCGTTTGTGTTGTCTTTCTTTGTCCATCACCCTCTCCTTTAGATTTCCCCTCTAATCAAGATCTTATTCGCTAGCCGTAATATAACTCTCCTTTTAGGGCACGTTAGCCGGTTGTTAGCTCTCCGGAACGATGTCCATCCGTTACTGGGGACTCAGCCGATGTGCCACTGTTTGTTTGCCTTTTCTTGTCTTTTGTATTGTGGCACAATAGCTGAGGTGTTTTCCACCTGCAGCTAACGTGTATAATTATGCATGAATGATGATGATGGTCGATAGGGTCGAGAACATAATGAGTACTCTGGCTGCTTACTCCGAGAGGGGTTTTGTTCGATGTATCCGAGCTCTAGCCTTTGACTCAATAGTCTGACTCACAAGGCAGTAGATGTAGGTTGGCTTGAGGGACTCCATCCGGAGCCTTTGGCTCAAAGTAGTGGGGAGCAGGGCCAGTGTGGGAGTGTGAGTAAGCGGACCTGTTTGGATCTACTTGGGGCCTGTTAAACAGTCTTTAAAGAGTTAGAACAGTGCACACGTGTTTTACGACCGTACTATCTTGGTGCAGCCTCATGTTGAGGTTGATGTTACATACATAATACTTCTTCACCGCAGTCGGGCTAAAGCGACTTACACTTGAATTAGATCTTTTTATCTGGATAAAAGTTATTCCACTTTATTTGGTTTGTTCAGCTCTGTCCTGTGTCAATTTTGCGTTTGCTTTCCCTCAAATTCTAGGTTGGTTGTTTGATATCTCCCCGGTGTAGCTGCGCTTCATGTGTGTGTTAACAAGGTGCCTACCTGTCTAACACCCTCCACCTCGATTGTTGGCTCCAGGAGTGTAAATCGTTGCTGGGCGGGACGGGGTACACTGTCCTCGTGACGGTGCTAGGCTCAAAGAGTGGTTCCATCCGATGTGGAGCGGACTACGGTCCAGCCACCGCCTTGTGTACGTCTAGTACGCATGATTCCCCACATATCTATATAGGAATGCTGTTGCTGTGCATGTTGAAGGAGTGTGGGTCGGCTCCGTTGATGAAACCGGGCTCCCATCCACATGCCTCCCGGTCTTATTCCTTTGGGTTCACACTGGATATGGTGTAGCGCAATTAATCCATGGTCCTGTATGCAGAGGCGTCCTGTGGCCGCAGTAACAATCAAATCCGGAACCGCACGCAGCCAACCATACATTTATTTATTTATAAGTGACAACACGCTTGGAAGGTTTGAATTGAGCAGTTTCGACAAACGGGGCTGGAATTGGATACACCTGCTACTTACATGTATTTAGCAATACTTAAATGTGCGTATCACAACGGTTTGCGCTTCCAAAATGGCATGCATAATGTAATGGCGTCTTCATCAGAGGAGTTTTATATGACGTGTGCTTCAAGAGAGCTGACCAACGGCATATTACGACACAAATATGCGGGGTAAGCAGGAACACAGTAGGTTGCACGAATGTATAGATTTCATACTTGATCACTCAGTGTGGAGCGGACTACGGTCCAGCCACCGCCTTGTGTGCGCTTGATTCCCCAAACACAGGGTACTTGTGTTTGCCTGTGAAGGAGTGTGGGCCGGCTCCGTTGGTGAAACGTGGTTCCCATCCGCATGCCTCCCGGTCTTATTCCTTCGGGTTTACACTGGATATGGGGTATGTGGTTGGAGCTGTGGGTGGTGCAGCGCAAGCCATCCATGGTCCCTCTGTAGGCGCAGGCGTCCTGTGGCTTGCCACAGTGACAGGCAAATCCGAAACCGGATGCCGCCAACCATGTATGTATGTGCCCCATGCTGAGGCTGATGTTGCATTCTTGATACTTCTTCACCGCAGTTGGGCTAAACCAACTTACACTTAAACTAGGTCTTTTTAAGCTGGCTAAATTTCATTCCGCTTTACTTGGTTTGTTCTGCCTTCCTGAATAACGTTCTATTAACTGGCCACGTTGCTTACACTAATTGCGCTTATCTTCGGTAATTTTGTTGCGTTTGTAGCATTTTAAGTAACTTGTGGACATTTCTTATTTATCACGGATTTGTTGCTAACCAACTTACTTCATATGGTAATTTAGCGAAGAGTTATGCCACCGTATCTGTATGCATTATTGGATTTATTTTATTTCAGCTTGTCGTTTAAAGTGAATGGCTGTTGTTTGATATCCCTGGTATGGTTGCGCTTGATGTGTATGTTGACAAGGTGCCTACCTGTCTATTACCCACTACATCGTTCATACTGGCTCCAGGAGACAGTTGGTCGTTGCTGGAGGGGACGGGGTGCACGGTTCTTGTGGCCGTGCTAGGCTCAAAGAGCGGTTCCATGCACTGAGTGTGGAGCGGACTACGGTCCAGCCACCGCCTTGTGTGCGGTTGATTCCCCAAATACAGCGTGCTTGTGTTTGCCTGTGAAGGAGTGTGGGCCGGCTCCGTTGATGAAACGTGGTTCCCATCCGCATGCCTCCCGGTCTTATTCCTTCGGGTTTACACTGGATATGGGGTATGTGGTTGGAGCTGTGGGTGGTGCAGCGCAAGCCACCCATGGTCCCTCTGTAGGCGCAGGCGTCCTGTGGCTTGCCACAGTGACAGGCAAATCCGAAACCGGATGCCGCCAACCATACTTGATCACACATATCAAAGTTCCACCGATCTGAAGTCTCTATGGTTACAGTACTGCAGTGTCATTTGAGCTGGCTGACCTTAGGTTTCAAACAGTACATAATCATGAACAACACGACATGCCATGTCAAATGTACATTGTACCACAACGTATCATGTTCCATACCCTATACCAAACATATTCGGGTAGAGTCGGCAGGACGGCTAAACTGACGTCACGTGCGGAATCCGGCGTGCGGGCCGTAAGTTTGTTGACTCCTGGTCTAGGCGATCTGCATTACAGGAAGGAGCCACGCTTCTTTGGGCGTATGGCAAGGTGGGTTTTGAGCCACTCGGTTATCAGTTACTGGAGGATGCCAGCCTTAATTGTACTTTATGCTATCGGTATCTAAAGTAAGTCTGTGAACAGTACAGTTTCAATAAGCATCAGCTAAAGTTCCCACCTGACTGTGCTTACTTGGGCATCCATAATTCCTATAGCTAGAATAATGTATGTCTGAATATCACTGTGTGAGGTAGCATGTTTGTTGCAGAAGGCGTCTAGAGTATCGTAAAACTGCATTCCGTTAGATCATTTTAGTCAGTCAAGTCAACAGTGCGCTTTATGCATACATGAAGGATGAATGTTCAGCCAAACCACACACACATCTACTTCAAAACCCAACAAACCACCCTACTACTCACTAATAATCAATAATCGCCTTAGCAGCTTGCCATATCGACCGGGGCGGTTCGCAAAGGAATTTGTAGATCGGGAGGCCAGCCCTGTCCTCTGCACGTTCACAAATGCTTGACAGTAGAGAATGAGCCGCACTATATCGCTGTCAGTATCAGTTGTGGCGGGCAGCCGCCATCACACATAGCTCAGTGGCACAAGTCGCGGGTCCGAATCCTGCAGGGTTCGGTGAGTGCGCTCGTGCTGAAGAGTCCCAATAGGACGAGACGGATGTCTAGCGCTTTCCTGGATGTGTGATGGCTGTCTGATTGATTCTAGCTGCGATGTGTCTTCTCCAAAACCTCTACCCCTTTGGCTACTGCGTCATGATAGGATTACGCGTTGCTTTTTGTAGAAATACTTCCTTTTAATGCAGCCAGTGATCTCACAGATTCGATAGCTTCCGCTCACGTATGTGTCCTCTAAAACTGTGTATGGATCTGCTTTGGTCCTATAGTAACACAACATCTTTGGAACTATCAATGGCTAGACTAGGCACCCTTGCATAAAATCCAGCTATTGATTGTTTGGGTTGATTTCCACCGTCTTTCTCCATCTTAACAACTTCATTCCGCTCGTGTATACTTCTTCGTGCACTCAGGTGGCAACTGTTCATGGCATTGCTTTGTCTGACTGATTTGGATTTTGTTTTTCTATGTTTGTTCACGCTTGTCGTCGGTTACAAGTTCTCTCCTCTGTTTGCACTACAGGCAATCGTCCGAGGAGACTTGGAAATCCTCAAAGATTGGTGCTATGAAGCTGTAAGCGCATTTGACCTCATGTTTAAATCTTTAGCCTTATAATATCCTCGCAACGCCAACGCAACAAATGCGACAGTTGGGGTTGGTGTCGAAATCTCGCATTCTCGATGTTCAGTCTCCTGACGTAAGTTGTCCTCCTTCATGCTCCTTGTTCTCGATGTTTTGTCATATTGCACCAATTAGATTTTTCTATTTCTTTTACTAGCTCTATGCATAACTATTGCGGCATTTGCCCCGACATTTTTTCTTTAAATATTGGTCCCTGGAATCGTCCGGCTACCTAACAAATATGAAACAGTAATTAAAACTTACGGTGAATATGCTCCGGAACATTTAAAGATGTCTTTCTTAAATTCTTTTTGTTGTTGTTGAAGAATCTTTATTTGAAGCCGCAATAATTATGCATCCACCCATTACTTGACTTGTACTGAGTCCGATGGAAAATCCGGGTACTCATAGTACTTGATTACCAGTGTTCGCTTAGCTCAACATAGTTCAACACGGCATCAGTCTCTGAGCGAATGAAGATATCTGTTTCACCGCCTCCCAGTGTCTCGATGACACTGTAGTTGTCTTGTCGCTGTGCGCTCTTTACCTACACGGTTCTCTGGGACCGCTCATCTCTTTTACACACCAGTTCTTCACTCAGCCAGCCATCGCACCTTTTATGACTCACTTGGTCAGGAGTACTCGCGAAGCTCGGTAACTAATATATTTGACTGAAAGTATCAAAGATTCTGAGTGGAACTTGTCGCAGCTAGGTTTAATTAAACTCGCATCAGTCACTCAGCAAATCACCAGATGATTTGGTCTGTAGCACGTAACACCAGTCAACACCCAGGATATGCAAAGCGCAAGTAAAATCTCTGTCTTGGTTATCCAGAATATAGGACAGCCTACGCGCTACCGATACGTCGGCTTTTTTTCCGGAAAGCGCGGTGAATGATCCCTTCGATTATGACCTAGGACCTATCTCACCGATCGACTAGACAACAGAACCAGGACGTCATGCGGAAGACTTTCGGTGAAATGAGTCCTCTGAGAGCATGCACTGCATTGATAGCTCCTGTGGCCACTCGTAGCAATCATGGTACCGGGCATTGTTTATCCAGAAGGCCATTGAACCCGTTGGAATCTCCAATATCGTAAGTAAACTGCGATCAGAGTGGTTTCTGCTAACGCACACCGATGAATTGAGAATCAGCAGGAAATAGAGTGCACAGTATAATGTAAGAACCGCACGCCATTCCGCCTAGCTCACTAACAATGTCCGCTGTCTGAGATAACCAGTGGTCGCATAATAGCTTGGTATCATTTCGAATCACCAACGTACCGTAATTGATGATGATTGCGATGGTAGACTAAGTGGGCAAAGCAGTACATTCTTATTGCTCCCTTCGTAGATCGTCGACTATGCTTCATCCAATTCACAGACGTACCTGAATTTGCTCCCCTTGCTGTTTATTACGATCTGGTCATGACAGCTGTCTGGCTGGCCCATACCCACAGTCCTCGTCTCTGGGCTGATTCGCAGATTCGATTTTCTATCTATCAACTCCCTTACCAGTGTCGACGAAATTAAAATTCTAAGCATGGCTGCAATCCGCAAGTGGCCAAACCAACATACATGATACACTGCTCTCTAGGTGGCATCGCAAATGTCGGCATTTTCACGGACCGCACACTTTCGATTTCGTCTGTGATTACAGTCGCTTAATTGTGGAGTAACTTCAGTGGCGCTGAAACTCGAACTGTGCGCATTTTCCCTGTGGATGAAATGCTCACCTTATAAACAATGACCAAATCACAGCTGGATGCTTGTACACGCTTAAAGTGCGATGCGACGCATAAAAATTTGTTTTACATCTATTTTGGCAAAGATGGCTAGGAGGTCTGGTGTAGTTGCTCAAGCCAAAAGGCTTGACATCCGCACATTACGGATTTATGCTAGATCACTCATGCATCACTAACCTACTCTTGAGGAGGTATGGATAGTTTCAGACACACCATGGAAATTCTGTCGACATTACATCGACCTATGAATCGACATAGCATTTTGTGGGATCCGTAAGGGCGAATTGGTATTACTTATTGGTGGAAGGATTTTGGCGAGTATTTTTGTTCGTCGCAATCAGCCGACAATTCAGATATGTCGACCAGCTATCCGGAAAAGAACCAGACGGCCGTTTCGCCCTATTGGGGCTCGTCAGTGGTGCGCATCCTTCGGTCCTCTGCGGAGGATCGAACCCATGATTGCTAGTGGCTCTTGCCAACTAGCCCGCAGCTTATGCAACTGCGCCATGGAGGACGGTATCCGACCATCACGAATCGTTAGCTAAATGCGATATAGCCCGACTTATCCTGGTCGACATATCTGAATTGTCGGCTGATTGCGACGAACAAAAATACTCACCAAAATCCTTCCACCAATAAGTAATACCAATTCGCCCTTACGGATCCCACAAAATGCTATGTCGATTCATAGCTGCCGTAACCGGGAAGTCCTGACGCCGGAAGGCCAACCGCTGTCATCTGCATGGCAATGGAGGATAAGTCGGGCTATATCGCATTTAGCTAACGATTCGTGATGGTCGGATACCGTCCTCCATGGCGCAGTTGCATAAGCTGCGGGCTAGTTGGCAAGAGCCACTAGCAATCATGGGTTCGATCCTCCGCAGAGGACCGAAGGATGCGCACCACTGACGAGCCCCAATAGGGCGAAACGGCCGTCTGGTGCTTTTCCGGATAGCTGGTCGACATATCTGAATTGTCGGCTGATTGCGACGAACAAAAATACCTCGACTAGTGTCATAACCCAATGCACAGTGTTGTGTCACGATCTGTACTCCAACTACATCAGCTTCTCCGGCCACCGCGTACCTTGTCTGCAGACGACCCAAATATCTAGAGGTTAGTTAGCACTATCTGCAACTACGGCCTGCTTCAGCAAAACCTGGACTGCTTCTCCATTTGGTCTGCTGAGATCTGCCTTCTGATCCACTCAGTTAAGCCTGTTTGCTTGTTTTAGGAAGGGTATTGACTGCCGAACCTACACCGTCGACGTTCAGCCTCTCCATTCCACACCTTCCGTAAAGACTTATACGTACTCTCATGCTGCGACTTGAAGTCCACGGACGGTACGAACAGGGTATACTGTAACAGCTTGAAGAATATGTTAATTAGTATATTCGCCGACTATTGAGACACTCCAAATACGACAAACTACTATTAGTACTGCTCGGCCCCTCCACTGCCCGATCACTCGAAGCTGGATGCAGATCGAATGGATCCAATAGATCGGTACCAGGCTTATCCTCAGTCTACGAGAGTTGCCGTACGAAGGTCTGTACACCCTTTCATTCGTCGGGTACAAGTTGATCTCATTATGACCTACCACGTTTTTCATACCTGACTATCAATGCTGAGACCGCAAACGCACCTGTGCGCACTAGACAGCTCACGCGGATATCGATGAAAGCGTGTGATGCCGAATCTGAAAAGGGTGACTGATCCATGGTTCTTCAAACGAGTAGTGGTGAATGTTTGGCGCTGTTTACCGGAACACAGTTCAGTGCCACAGCTCAGTACATCTCTGGGCGCATGTTTCGCGAATGCACGATTCAGAGAACGTTTCCTTGCCTGACTATGATGTTGTTCATGTGATATACCCTTCGTAATTTCAGCCGTATATTGTCACAGTTGCATGCGAGAACATGAGGAACAACTTACTTATAGGCAAATATAATCTTTTTGGCTTTCTCTATCGTTTTTATGTGTATTTTCACCGATTGTATTTCCTCGCGTCCAATAAAATGTTTCGCTATTATTTTTCTAGATCCAGATGGGGAAAATGATGGAACAAGGCCCCGTACTAGTAATCAGTTTCCAAGCACAGCAAATCAATTGTATTTATGATAAAAATGGATGTATCCATGAGGGCGATCCAAACAAAGTGTTACGTGTAACACACGTGTGGGCGTTGTGCCGAGATCAAGAAGAATTTAACCCTTTGGCGGCCTGGCGCATCTTGGACATTGCTATGCTTCCCAGTGAACAATGGCTATGAACACTGACTGTAGCATTGACAATTCGTTTGTACATAAATCGCCTTTGGCTTAGAAATGCTATTTCACCTCACCGATGCTACACAAACCTAGTGACTCTTTGCCACCCTATGTGATGAACCTGGACAAACACCTCTCATTATTTCCAATCACAGCTTGTTATTTTCTCCATCGACCAGTTCAGTCTAGCTCCTAGTCATGGCCAGATCATTGTCGTTTTGGCCCTACGCTCGCTCGCTGCCAATGATTTCCACTTCGTCTTGTACAAATGAAGCCTGTATTACTAGATATCCAGACACCTGTCTGTTAAAATACTGACCCCCTTTTTCCCTGCCTGACACTCTTGTCTCACTGGAAAGACACACAGGTCAAGATGTGACCGGTATGGTATTTTCCTGGATGAAAATTGTATGTATAGGTCATACGCACTTTTCTACATGGTCGTCCGTACACTACAGTCATCTCTGGCTTGGTCTTGACGTTCTAGTATGTTCTGTTTGTCGGTTGGCTGCCACAGCACACTGTACTTAGTTGTCGGCTCCCGTGACCAATATGTCGATTAGCCTCCGCGCAGTGAGGCCGTGCGTAGGCATTTATTCGGTGTAAAAAAAAGAAATGTGTCAGCTTATACGCCGTAACGGCGCTTCGCTGCCGCGCGACCACCACCAGTCGCGCGCGGGCTGAGTATACCGCGAGGACGCCCACCCCTACGCGGATTCGAACCGGTGACCTTATGGTTGGAAAGCCAACGTGCCAACCACTCGGCCACCGGCCGGTGTGGTCATACAATACTATCGTGGGTGATCATTTTGAAGCGCACGTGTAGGTGGATTGTGATGCGCAATCTCAATCTGGAACAGGATTCACTTTGCGGTGAATCGCACACAATTTGGTCACTGGGGCTTGTATCTAAAACGGCTTTGCGAACTGGCAATATTTGACATTTTGGTTCGTATACGACCCCAGTTGTCCGATATACACTGCAGGGTGAATGGTGCTCCAAATTAAGGTTGCGTGTCCCCGTGATCATCCGACGAGTGTTTTAAAGTGACCCTACAGTGTGTCACTCGTTGTGATAAGCATCCCTACGCATCATTTGGCCGTCCCTACTTACCAGCCTTTAGTCGCAGTTCTACTACTTCCACATGACAAAGGAAAACGATTACGAAACTCGTCGTGGAGTGCATTGTTGCGAATAGACCAGATTCGGAGTTACCAATGTACGAACTTGCGAAGATCTTAACTCTGTTACGTACCGCAACTATTGGCGAGGATGAAGCTCGCTAAATTAAGCGCTACTGGGTCGGTGCGACGCCAATAAGCAATAATAAGCCACCGGTTGACTCTGCCCCTTACATCTTGCCTAACCAAGTGTGCCGCGGCTCAATTCGGTGCATTCTGTTAACTATGACTCAAGTGTCAACGACAGTAGACCCATCAGCCGTTGCCTTTTTATTGAACATCATTTTTACTTTATCTACTGCGAATATTTAAGTTTCGAAGGAACATTTTTCTCCGATGTGCTTCCACGGTCACCAAGACCGTCTTACTCTCTATATTTTGAGTACTAAATCGAAATACCGCGCACTATTCGCGGTTTGTTGCTTTTGGACTCGAAGCTAAAGTCTAGTTGAAACCAATTCTGAAGAAATGTCTTCGTAAAACTCTGCTCTCTCCCCGATGAAAATAACCCGTGTATTCTGTTTATCAATTTGTGCTGAGTGCCTAAGAACGCGGATCTTTGTACTCGAGTGACATCAGTGCATTTTTCCATTGTGTTTATCAATTTATAAACTTTTGCAATTTCGATGATGTCATTTTGCTTCATTTGTAGTTGATACTGTTAAGTGTTGAAAACACACCCATCCGGGTACATAAAGCTTTCCTTGACTTGAAAAAAGTAAGCGCAAACATTTATTCGGAAAAATAGACCGACGCAAAATATTAGAAATGTGTAACGAAATAGGGAAGCCTGTGTGCAGTAACGCCACTGGCGTATCGACCAGTCTATATCGGACAGGTTAACCAACCGCAGAAGTGGTCGATTCCAAAATCGCATCCAATCAAACTGTACGCACGGCCAATCAACTTCCATTGGCCTCATACCATTCCGTCATGTCATCAGCTGACCATCTTGGGAGGTTCACTTACTCGGGCACGTTATCAGTGGTTTCACCTCGCCGATCTAGACAGTGGATAAGTATCCAATGAATGTGGATGATTTCTATTCAAATTGCAACCCGGTGACCCATTAGAGTTTGTTACCAAATAGACCGGTGTACATCAGAATGACATGCATGGTGTGCAGCTGAGATATCTCACAATCAACAGTTCTCAAAGACGACCAGCCCATTGGTATCTTCCACTAGCAGTGGTAAAAAGGATCCACCCAACAGGTAGCTGATTGCATTGAGGTATTACTCACTCCACTCTAGACTGGTAATGTGATAAAGCACCGTCCTCGTGGATTGTTGTGGCTCTAGGACCAATGAACATGTGCAGGCCAAGCGCCCTAGCAGCTTGCAATAAGAAAGTGGGAACGCATGCTAAAGCGTGCAGTACTACGCGTCATTCTATCCAATAAACGTTTCCGAACTATGGAAAACTGCTTTGTGGACACGCCGTAGGTCTATCAGTTGGCAACTTAGCGTAAGTGAATCCAGAAAGAATACACAACACAACCTTTCCGACTAGAGTTCTAGTGAAATAGGGAGAACTTCACAAAATCCCGCAAGCACTAGTGGAGATCACAGAATGGGGAGCAGTTTCTCAAGCAATAAACCTATGATAGACGGCGCCACCGACCGAAGCAAAGGCGGCCGTCAAACCAAGGAGAACGTCCATGGCCGGTGGTGTTCACACACCAAGTGGAGCATTTGAACATGACGAATGTAACCACCAGCCTGGTTCATTGATGCTACTTCCTTGCGGACGAGGAAACGGTGTGTTTCGGATGCATTGGGTAATCCGGAGGCAGCTACACCGCTGTTACTCGTGAGGGGGACGAAAGACATAAGGCACAAGAATTACGGAATAAGACTATTATTCGGAAAATGACTTTTCGACAATATACTGCCGCAAAAGAAACAATCGCGTATTTCAAAAACCATATCATCAGACCCGGACATTCGTTAGCGTGAGTCCTCATCTGATGTTCTGCATGTTGACCACGACATCAAGCTTCTAGTTGATTCGACACCGCTGGTCAATGGGATTGTTCCCGATAGGTCAAAGGTCATCATACTGTGACCCGCGACGTCACGTCATCCGGCACGCCGACTGTACTCGAACTCTTGATATGGAGCACGAGAACTTATGGCATAGTTTACACTTGCCGTTGTATGTCTTATAGTCGGTGACTGAATATAAAACTGAGGCAGCTCATGGTTGTTACACGTGGCATCTTGATATCAAGGAACTCATTATTGGAACGTGGATGTGAGTGCTCGCACATACAACCCATTTGTCTGTGCACTCTACCGTGCTTCCGTTTACTGCACGCTTCTGTCGTTCTCGGCAGGTCAGCTCCTTTGATACATCTGTCCCATAAAACGCCGGATATTAGGACGCCATTAGCTTGTGCACTTGTCATTTTGAAGTTATATTTGCTGGTTCTTTGTAATGAGTTAGTGGTACGAAATTATCCTAAAGGCGCTGATTGTTGATGGTACATTCTGGTATTGCTAACGGAATATAAGTAGTGCCGGTATCCAGCCCTGTCTGTTGATTTGATTTCCGTCAAAACTGATCAAGCGTCTTGCCGCTTATATCGTCATTACACATCAGCTGAACTTGAGAAACACATTTCAACTATTGTGCCGCCACGCATAAACATGACATGCGAAAAAAGCAAGGTCCTGGAAACAAAATAATGCGAAAAACATTATGCGCCAAGAGAGAAATCGTGGCTGGATGAGACAGATAAGAAACAGCACAAACGCAAGTGAGGTCGGCTCCTTGCCATGTCACTTAGTGTATCTAAACAGACGTGTTCATCGTCATTCGGAGACCAGCCAAACAAACCGACGCCAACTTCGAAGTTAAGGATTTCATTTTTCTTGATCAAGTCATCAGTTGGCGTCCCCTCTTCCATCCACACCCCCGGCGCGCAAACAGCGTACGTCACGAGGGTCCATGGGCTGACACGCGCTACACGTGACCCAGCCATCGGTGCGTGAAATAACGGTGCTCAGCGGTCCATTCGTTCTTCTTGCATCAAATACTGGACGCCGAACATATTCATCGTTCACGCCTCTGGCATCCGTAGCTCTCAGTTCTATTTGTACAAATATACAAAGACCTCAGCAAATTTGCCGAGCTTCAATCTCGTCAAGACTCAAGGACTTTGGACCTCATCATGATGACCGAGACCCAGCTGAACAACTTGATTACCGACCCTGCTAACTCACCAACTGGTATGCGCAACGACTGACCCAACAAGGGAGGCAGTGTAATTCTTTACTACCGTTCTGACCTACACCTCGAACGCGGTAACGACCCAGGGGTTCAAGCCGTAGACTCATTCTGGTGCCGCCTACACTTAATGCATAGTGATATATGTTTAGTGGCCATTGTATACCGCCTACCATTGTGCACTTTAGAAATAAACCAGGTTCTGGCCCCGGCTATGAACAACCCACTGGTCATCTCCTCCTGGTGGGGGACTTCAACCTGCATTCTCTAGAAACCCCGGCCAACTTCGTCGAGTACTTTAAGATGGAACTTCTAGAACATCACCGATTCGCCGCTGCACAACTAGGTCACTTCTCAAACGCGTTTCTTGACCTCGTTTTTACCAACGAGGGATTCATGATCGACGTAGCAACAACGTACGCTTCTTTGGGCCGCAGCGACCATGCGACACATGTTCTACTACAGTTGCTACGCAGAATACCTTAAAGACAGCACCGAAGAATTTTGTCGTAACCAACTGTGATAACATGTCCAACCCCATTGGTACAACAAGCTGGTCTTTCCTAGCCGAATGGTCCACTGAGGGGGGGGGGTAATTTGACAACCGATTCAGCAGGCTAGTGGGAAGAACACCCGAAAATAAAGTACACCACTCTGAAAGATGAAGTCGTTCCAAAGGAGCAGTACTCGGAATTACATGGCATAGAGGGACTCGGCTTGGCGCACCCACATAGCCTCTCCGAGCGAGGATACCTATACAACATAAAGGAACCACTGCATCAAACTCGTCCGGGATGATAGAGCAAAATACCAACAGATATGGTGATAGAATTTTGCTGTAACCCAACCTACTATACATACATTAAACAGACTTCGCAGCGTTAAGCGCGGAATTCCTGCTCTGCACACAGCATGTGGGCTTGCGCAAACGGCACAAGAGGCGGTCAGCGTACTTGGAAAACAATTTGGCCGTACCTTACAAAACTGTCGTCATCCTACGTCCTTCCTACGCAGATCGTAGGTCCATCAAGGCTTAGCCACATAACTTACCATCACGGATGTACTGGAACGGCTGATGTTCTTACTCGAATGCAGCTTTAATGCAGACGGCATCTGCCTAAATGCGTCAAAAGCGGCTGCCAGTTTAGCTGAACTGCTGAGGATATTCTTTCAACCATGTCTGACTGAGATGGATGTTCCCGCAGTGTGGAAGCACGTGATCATCATTCTAATCTACAAGAAACGCAACTGTGCAGAACCAGAGAACTGTCGGTTGATAACAATACTTCCGGTAATCTTCAAGATCATGGGGTCAATGCCACTGAGGTACTCATGGGATACTTGGAGAGTAACAACATTCTCGCTCCGTATCAGCACGGATTTCGCCAGAATCGGTCATGTACTACTAACCTACTAATAGCTCGTGCATACTGGATGGAGTCTGTGAATGCTGATTTAGGGGTAGATGCCTTCTATCTGAATTTCCTGAAAGCATTCTATACTATGGATCTTCGCATTCTATTACACAGACTTCGTAATTATGAAATAGGCGATCCCGTTTTTGGTTGAATACGCAACTTTCTTTCGCAACACTGTATCCGATTCAATCGAAGTTCAGTGCAGCGCACAAGGCTCGGTACTCGGGTCACACCTGTCTCTGGTTTCCATAAATGACATCGCAAGGGTGCTCTATTCCACTTTTTTCTACTATTTGCCGATGATCTAAGGATATGGAGTGCTATTCACTACACCGGAGGATCACGCACAACACTGCAGACTGATTTGGATAACGCTTACACATGGTCCTTAGAGCACATGCTGTAGTCCAACACCGCTGACTGCAAAGTTCTGAGCATAAGACATCAGAGAAATCTACCGGCTAGGGCCACGGATTCTGCAGCAAGCTTCTCATGAGCGCGTTCTCGATGTACTCGTGCAAGATGGCCTTGTTTGTTTGAGACAGACCGAGAAAGTCTTCAAAGAAAGCAAATCAGCATTTCAATCTTCATTGTAAGGCGTTCGGGAAGTTCGACACCCCATTCTTTCCGCAAATGCTTAGCGCGTATGTGAGGCCGCATGTGAAATACGCTATCTAAGCGTGGCAACCTCGACAGAAGCACCACCTCAACGCCCTCGAGACTGCACACGCAGGGTGATGCAGAACATCAAAGGGATGTCTCACCAACCATACCAACTCAGACTGAAAGTGTACAGCGGACTTTATAAACACCTACCGGGCGATCCCAGACTCTAAATAACCCATTCATACTTGCTACCATCTTTTAAAAATCAACTAAAACACATCTCTGACGAGCAGTCATCTTAAGCTGGCCACGCAGTATAGCCGACTGTAATGTCGACAAAAACTTTACTCCCTATGAGTGTAAGCCGTAGATCTTCCTTCTAGCGCATGTAATTAACGCTCCCATATTCACTATTCTAAAAATGACATTGACACAATACGTGATATGACACATGACCATCAGGTGAAGGCCTCAGTGCGGAAGAAACAGTGGACTCCACTTAAAACCTAGACAGGATTATCACATCTGTGCTGTTAGTCTTTTCTTATCGACTGTGTTTCCATCTTGGAATTTTCACCTTAATAATCCGTGATTTGTCGTGAATTTACTTTTTTGCCCGTAATAAACCATTGCTCCATCCGGCCCGTGCTAATCATACTTCAATTATCCGGCCGGCTGGGGAAAAAGTTTGGTGACCCGTGTTCTAGATGATCCGCTTGGAGTTCAAGGAGCTGGATAGGCAGTTCATTTTTCACTGACGCAGGCTTTTCGTGAACCGTTTGCGTTAAATGAACTTGAGCAGCACTGCCGTCTTAGACTAGTTCAGCACTCCAGACTTTCTGTGCCTTGCTATCCACCACCGTTCTCCGCCGACCCTCATCGCCATGGTCATACGCTGAATCAGGGTGTTGCCGACGAAAAATATCATTAGCGCAACATTAACCATCGGAGACGTCTGCGGATTTGTCCGTCCATGTATCCTTTAGCACTTAAACACTTAAAGCACCGGAGAAAACGATTTTTGTAGTGTTGACTGGCTGATGAGGCGAGTGGGCTGTAAGGACCTCAAGCTTACATACATCACGTTGTAAGAACCCGAAGTGCAAGTGGACTAGTTTGTTGTGCTAAAAATTTATGATACTAGGTGCATCCGTACCAACAAACGAGACATACACTCATTTTCGCTATCCCTGTTGGAGGTTGCATGGTGCGGGTTTGCTTCTGTGTCTAGGGAGTGTGTGGTGTGCGCTGGTTGTGCTGTTGGCTGGTTGCCGTTTCGTATCTTGGCCTTTCCACGTTACTTATAACTGGTGCATTAGTGTCTGCATTCGGTCCACCACAACGTAAATCGAGGAACCCAAGCTAATCTCGATTTCGTGCATTGGTAACCCAAAGCTGAGTTTGCACGGCTAAACTGTGAATGCGGAACCGCAACAATGGAATGTTGATTACCATATATGTATAATTTTATAGATAGCCCTACGTACCCGTATAATGAGTTTGGATCGCAACCCAGATTGTCTCTGATTCGTTTAGAGCCACTCGATTTGGTGACAGAAGCACTGACTTACCAATGATCGCTCGGTTTTGATGTACAGTCTTCGACTGCTCTGCAGATAACGAAAAGCAAACTACCGAACGACTGAAGTGTGGAAGGCAAAGTGTATGGACTTCGCGGCACATCCATCTGGATGTCCGTTAGAGTCCACATCGGTTGGCCTGGAAGCCTGGAATCTCAGTGACCATAATCATGAACGAAATCTTTCGGAAGTAATAAAGGGATTTGGTGATTATTTCGAAAGCCGATCAAGTCTTTCTGCTCTTTGCTGCCAATCGGCCAACGTTAGTCAATTGACAGCTCTCAATAAATAACGTGAAAGGCAGGAGTACGTCTTTGCAACACCGATTATTCAAGGATGATCAGTGTCATCACTACTAGGTTCAGAACTCACCGTCAATATAATGTTCGGGAAACACTGTAGTGAAACACCGAGCTGTCTAAAGGTTGGACGGCTCGAAGCTACAACCGAAAGAGAGTGCTGTCAGGAAAGCTGTCAAGGAAGAAAAAAAATTCTTACAAAAGCCAAGGTGACTCACGAGGATTTCCCAGCGTATCATTCGAAAGGAGGAGCACGCCACCCATAGCAATTAAGACAAACCCATCTCAGCGTCTGTTCAGTCGTCGAATAAGGTGGCTGCAACCAGCATTGGAGCTAAACTACAATCTACGAAAGCGCTTGCGTCGACAAGAGGTACTATGTTCACAAATAAAACATCTACAACCTTTAGCGTCCGGAGACGACGCAAGGATTGAACCAATACTTAGATGAAACTAGTGTTGGAGGAGTGTAGTAACCGGAGGTCGTAAGGAGCTGTGGAGTAAAAAATTATAGGAACAACCTTCGGACGGAATCGAGTGCAGCTAAAAGAGCTGCGTGGTGGACAGGCTCTACGGTGTACGGAGCAGCAGCATCAACAGAATGAACCGAGTACCACCGCAGTCAAGGACCGAAAGCTCTCTCACAGTAGGAAACAATGCAGAGACTGCAACACCAACTACGAATAGAGGAGAGATGTGGTGTGGCTGGCTGATGAGACAAGTGAGCTACAAGGACCCCAAGCTGACCTAGATTACGCGAGTCAGTGACCGCAAGCTAATCCTGATTTCGCGCGTCGATAACCCCGAACTAACTTCGCACGGCTCGATGATGACTTGGAAAACGCAAGAGTACGGTATTCATCCACATTTGTGTACAGTATAAGAATGGTATTTTGGATATGAATAATAAACTGTGACTGCAGTTCAGACTTTATTTTTGATTCTTGGGAGAGCATGAAGTGCGAATAACGGTTGATCATGCAGCGTTATCAAGCACGAGACTGCATCGTCAAAAGACCGAACATCCGAGTGCGTTAGCTTACAAAAATGTTGATCCTGTTCGATATGCTTTTGAATATTCACGATACATGTAGCGACTTCCTGTAGAAAACTGCAAGAGCAAAAAGCGGTATGGAAGAAATTTTGGATCAGATCTCGTGCATGCTCATGACCTTGTTATCCCTATAGCCAACGGGAAAATTTTGCCAGAGTATAACGAATCAAAAACCAGCGATGAAACTTCCCACGTTTGATAGCTTCAAACGACACGTGGAATTTCGATCCCGTTAAAGAAATTCCACTGGATTTCTTAAAATCGCTGAATTTTACGTTTCTAAATTACCATAACTGAACCGCAATGTATACCTACCCATCTTCCACAATTAGATGCCAAGGGCCAAACGCAGGAACGCCACTCACCGCGTCGTGTCCGATAGGGTGCGCAACTCCCAATGTGGACCAACCCGCGTCACGTACCCACTAAAACAACACGCATTGGCCTGACCAAGTGTTTCGGTCACTTCCGTTACGCCACCTCGTGGTTTCACCCAACTAGGTTCAATGACAGCTATAATGCACGCCGAGGAAGACAATCAATTGGTATCTAGAAGAAATGACCTAGTCAGTCGCGCGTACACTAGTGACACTTGAAGGTTGTTCGCACACACGCAGACTGGAATCGGTGACACGCGGATTGTAGGCCAGAAACCTGAACCACTCGGCCACCAGCTGCCCTGCGTTAGAACACATAATGGTCGGTAATACTTCGTAATTTTCATTTATGCGCCGACCAACAGCGCCAACGATTATGTAAAAACCAAGTATCAGAGTTGATTATCGACAGAGGCAAGCGAAGAAACGCAGTTCACGTTTGACAGCTGCTAAAATAGTATCCATTGCACCAGTTGAAACCTGTAGCAAAAAAACGTGCAAAACAGGTGAACTCGACCACAAGCCAAATCGAGAAACTGCATCTCTAGTTAGACTGCTGCTGATGAGGTAAATGTATACACAATGGCAGTGGTGAAGCGGAGCTGACCAGTTGCGACATCAGAAGCACGGATGAAATGAAGGCGTAGTAAGGTATATATACTCATGGGGCTGGGTGTGGACGAAATCGCGTTTGTACGTATGGATCAGCTTCAGATTGTCTGAAACTGGCCGTGGTGCTTGCATTACTGACCGCAGAACCTGGAGCGATATACGAATTAGATGGCGTAGATAGTTGTGCAGGCACGAAGCGAGAGTCGTCGGAATCCAACTGGCTACCTCCATAGGAATACGAACCCAATCCAGTGCCAGGATGGTGATGATGATGATGGGGGTGATTTACGGCACGAATCTGTTGAAAAACGGACGGATGACCACGCATTCCAGTTAAATTTCCACCACGTGAGCCCAACACACTAGACACAGTGGAGCTAATGGAGGGAACAGTGTACGTGGTGCGGCCCGGCAGCAGACCGGTGTTAGTGCATGTGAAACGAGTGACCGCGGAGGGGAACGTGGAAGCGTTGATGGTACGAACGATCGTCGATTGGACTACTGCGCCTCTAAGCTGAAAGAAGAAAATTCGAAGATAGATGAAATAACAAAATAATGTAAGGAAGACACTGGTGCTATACAAAAGAAAGCAAATTTGGCTGTGAGCAAGAAAGGGTTTGCGTTGTGAAGTTTGCAGCACAGAACTGTGAGAATAGAGTGGGTTCTATGCCGTGTCAAAACAGTCGTATACGCCGACAATTACTGCGCCCACCCGATCCCGTGGATTGGGTTGTTCGCTGTTGTTGGGACACGACCAATAACTACAAACAAAGTCCAACTTTAATGTAAATAGCGTCCATTGCAATCACTAGTACGATGATGGGAGTAGAGACATCCTCGGTACAGCCCACTCTTGGCAATGCGCTCCATGAACGATTCCGTCGTAAAAGAGAAACTGAGAGGAAGCCCTGGGTTTTACGGTCGGCAGCTGAAGCATTTACCGCTAAGCTACAAGACCACGAAAAAAGAAGCAGCTACGTATGATGCGTGGTTGGCCTTTGGTTTATCAGTTCGCTCTGCTTGGAGTGTGACGTGGGACGAACTCGTAGATGTGTGTATGTAGATATGTGCCTTATGACATTGCATTCAGGCTCTCCTTCATCACAGTTGCGCTAAACCAACTTACACATAAACTAAATCTTTTTAATCTGGATTAGTCATTCCACTTGATTTGCTTTGTTCCATTCTGTTGTTCTGCTACATATTCCGCGTCAACCTTGCGTAATTATTTTCTTTCGAATTCTATGTTGGTTGCCTGATACCCCGGTGCGACTGCGCTTGATGTGGATGTTGACATAGTGCCTACTTGTATAACACCCTCCACCTCGATTACTGGCCCCAGAGAGTGAGTCGTTGCTGAGCAGGACGGGGTGCACGGTCCTCGTGGCCGTGCTAGGCTCAAAGAATGGTTCCATCCAGTGTGGAGCGGACTACGGCACAGCCACCGCCTTGTGTACGTCTGATACACATGATTCTCCACAAAGATAGACAGTAATGCTGCTGTTGTGCATGTTGAAGAAGTGTGTGCCGGCTCCGTTGATGAAACATGGCTCCCATCCACATGCCTCCCTGTCTTATTCTCTCAGGTTTACACTGGATATGGGGTGTGTCGATAGTGCAGCGCAAGCCACCCATGGTCCCTCTGTGGGCGCAGGCGTCCTGTGGCTGTCCTATGCAGGCCACAGTGACAGGCAGATCCGGATCCGGAAGCCGTCAACCACGCCTCATAACTGCGACAATCTGCTGGAGCACTGAATCCATGCGATCGTCTACGAAGCTGAGAAGTATATGGTACAGTGTGAGAGCAGGCGGACACCAATCACAATTGATGTAACGCATGTGTAGTTCAGCGCGAGAAATATGTGCACTCAGTGATTGAGTCGAGAATCGCTACGGTGAAACTTGATAAGGACGAGTCAGCCTGTTGTCAGGCTACCGGATCCCGTGGATTGGTAACCGATTGTAGACTGAAACAGCATCAGCCGAACCTTCACCCAAAATCGTCGAATGATGTGTGAAGTGTGAGAGTTACTCGCGGAGAACAAATAGTCATCGAAGGCAGGATCAAAACTAGAGTAAAGCGAGAAGTGGATTGTTATGATGGTGAAGTGTTGAGTTCACCTTGCAAACGCAACCAAGGTAATCCGCCTCATGCACAAAGATCAGAAGCATCCTTGACAAACAACGGGATGGTTTGATCGTGTATAGGTTATTGTGTGGACCATGCAACAGCATGTGGAATATCTCGAGGTACACACGAGGAAAATGCGTGTTTAAGGTTGCTACCAGAAAAACAACAACTACTGCTCACAAACGCACAAGACCCAGTTTGGAAGCCCGAATGGCTTTTCCTTCGATCATTTACTGGTGGTCGTCGCCAGTTCTTTTCGATAGAATGCGCTTTCTAAAAGCCTTTGCGTCAAAAGCGAAACATCACCAGTAAATACAGCAACCGGATGTTAACAAGGTAATAGTGACGCAAGCGGAGCAGAATTTGGGAATCGAGTAAGAATTAATCGGCTGGCAAATACCAGCCCGTGTCGAAAGAATCGAATTATTCCGTCAATATGATTAACCCGTGGAGTGGAACTCACTCACACTGGCCGAAAACCAGACGCGGAATGGTGAGCGACCTTGACCTCCTGAATTAGCATGTTTCGGTTATCAATAAATAGTTAACCTATCTTGTAGACATACTCTCTCTGTCTACCGAGTTCTAGCCTTTTGTATTCCTTCGGTTGACTGGGCGCGTGACTGAGAAGTCAGACAGTCGCAGTTTCATATGGCAGCTAGCAGAAGTACAACAGAAGAAGCGTTACAACACAAGATCTTCTGAAATGATGACCTCCCGACCGGCTTCAAATAAATTGGCACATTAATCCTAGAACTTCTCATCGAACACATGGTCGTCTGATATGTGGTGTGGCATGAGACTGATGCCAAACACTGTGAATTAGACAAGCAAATGAACAGAGAAACTCACCGTGTTACGAGATCGTAGAATCTGTGGCAACGGGGCCGCCAGGGATCCAAAATTTGAGCTGAGTGGCAAGCCAGAAGGAGCCAGCGAGACAGTGGCTACAGTTGTGAAGATGCCTCGAGCTGATGAAGTGGAAAGCGTCTGGTTGGCAGATATAAACTGGGATCTCTGCTGAATAAAGTATCCTGTGCCCGTTGAGGGTTTACTGATGATGGAGCCACCAGTACTCGCTCCGTCAGTGTAAGACAGGATGGGCTGACTGCTAAGGCTGATCGGAGTGAAGGTGGCTGAGCGGCGAAGCATGGTTGGATTGGATGAAACTATAGTCTGTCATAAGGAAGGAAAGAAGGAAGGTCATCACCATTAACAGGAATACACCAGCCATTTTAACTAATGTTTCGCTGCCGTACAACCAAAACAACCTACGGAACGAAAGATAATAAAAGAGAGAGAGGAATTATCGGAAAAATGTCCTAACCAAACATTTAACGTCAAGGCGCCTACACCTTGTGTAGACAACATACCGTCACAAAAAGCTGGCTATCGTGTAAAAATAAGGGGGCATCGGCGAGACATCTTCTTTGCGGCTTTCACTGCTCCGCGTCATAAGCGGCCATTATCCCGCAGATAACTCAGCGCCAAACACACTTTAAACAGATAATGCGACTAAGAGAAGACAGCAGATACACCACTGGTGTCGGATTCCTGCCATATCCTGTAAACTCACGAGCCAAGCGCAAGGCGGGTCACGTGGACTCCAGCTTGGAACGCGAGATGGACTAACGGCGCCCAGTTTTGTAGTCAATGACTTCATTTCCCGCTGCCCACCTCGGGCCTTGCGCCATCCTACATCTGGCCGACAAAGCGATGCCCTCCTCGGTAAGCGGTGACCAGGCAGACTTAGCACGTGCCCAAGCCAATATAACTTATTCAATGCTATCTCTTGTTCTACGGGACGAGCCTGTTAACCACTGTCTAGCACTCGCCTACGCACATCATCCTTGCGTACAAAGTGGTGCCACCAGACACCAACAATGTTCCGCAGGCAGCGATGACCAAAGACTTGAAGGTGCTTCAGATCGAAGGGCCCAAATTTAACTACCATACGGATTGACGGACCTCACAGAGGTCATGTAAGCACGGTTTTCAGACTGAGGGAAACCCTTCCTGAGGCAAAGAATGTCGTAGATTAAAAAAGGCAATTCTGGCTTTTGCAATATATGAAGTGACTGCATTAGTTATGTACCCATCGTTGTTGATGCAGGTGATAAGTGAATTGATCAAGTATCTCGAGTTCCTCGTTATCAAGTGTCAAAGGGTCATCCAATAACTGGTGGTCCTGCAATAACATTTTGCACTTTAAGGGTGCAAAGCGCATGCCAAATAATAGGAGCACTCTTGAGAGGTTATTCAGGGTTGATTGAGTCGCTCCAACATTGTTAAACAGCAAAACCATATCGTCCATATGATCCAAGATCAAATAGCCTTAACCAGGCAGCACTTCAACACCTGCATCGTGAGATTTCGCAAGGGAACATTCCATGGTGGAGTTCATGGAGAAGTTGAGCAAAAACGGGAAAATCGAACAACCCACTTGTTGTGCAGAGATATCCGCCAAGTCATCGTAGAACCTAATGCGGTCTATGGTGTTCGAGTATAAGGTACGTAGATGCTCATATATTTCATGAGAACACCTTTCCGAACAAGTATTTCGAGCAGATTGCATTGATCGACTGAGTCAAGAAACACAGCTACTCTCGGCCTGCGGTACGTGTGGCGCTGCTCTAGCACTTGCAGCAAAGTGAATATATGGTCCATACAGACGCGTCTCAGGCGAAAGCCCACTTGCTCTTCCCTAATCCGTGAATCCCGTCCTTCAATGAGGCGACGAACGAGAATCTAGGTCAGTAATCTTGTCACTATCGGCGTTAAGCTAATACCCCTGTCGGTGCGACTGCACTTTATAGATTGCCACTATAATAGATTCACTCGTTAGCTGGGATGGTCTCTGCTTTCCAGACATGTTCGAACAGTGCTTTGTAGAGGACCTCACCTCCATCCTTAAACAGTGCAGGTGGGAGGGAATCCGGGCCAGCAGCACGAAAACGATCGAGGGCTGTGATCGCATATCGGACCTCATCCGATGGAGCCTCTAAACTAATCGTCCATGGCTCCTCCCGTCTCACCTGAGTAGGAAGGGATCCGGAAGCAGGGGACCAACTGAACTGACCTTGAAAGTGTTCCACCCAAAGAGGCATAGAGCGCTCCTTATTTTGAATCAGGACACCCGTGCTGTTTCTGATTGTCTCACTAACGCCTGGCTTCCTGGGATCGCTGGTGGGGATCAGTTAGAAGAGCTTGTGATGATTGCCTACCGCTCCCGCCTACTCCACCAGCAAGCAGCCTCCGCTTTAGTTCGCGCCTAATAATCCGTCTGGTTGTATTGTGCTCAGAGCCAGCCGGGGGTTTTCTTCTGGATTCCAACAGGTTCACCGACCTCTCGGGTATTTAGTAACTGGTAAGGTGTCGACAGAGTACAACAATAAGATGCTTTTGCGTCGTGCATGGAGACCGAGATCCTATTCCAGTTTCATTAGGATAAAAGAGCGAAAGTTCGATACGCAGTGCGTCTTGCCTGACCGAGGGCTGAGATAATCTCATGTGCCAGTCGAAAGAGACGCTTGGTACGCATGCGAGTAAAGTTCATGGAAATGCGACAGCGTACCAAGGCATGATCAGAGTAGACGCATGTACTCCAGAACGAGCGGCAATCCAAGATGGAACCGTGCCACCTGTAGCTTATAGCAATGTGATCCATTTGGGTCCATGGCTGGCCAGCTACAGGACACCAAGTGGCATTTCGGCGCTCACTGTGTCTAAAAGCGATGCTACTACGACAGCCGGTGCTCCGCACACAACTGTAATTGACGCTCTCCCTTGTTTGTCTAGTCGGAGTTAAGTCTATATTTACCACCTAGCAAAACTTCTAGAGAGCTCAGACGACTCACATGGGCATTCATATCCCCTGCAACAACGATATCTGAACTGATAACAATGTGAAGCAGCGTATTCAGTTCGCGGTAGAAAGTGTCCTTGGCAATCTCAGAACTGCAGTCGGTAGGGGCATAATCGGAAACCTTAAACAAACAGCGTCTACACCTTTTCTCAATTCGTTACATCGTTCCCCCAAATTTTTGCATCGGTGACGCTTGAAGCTGCATCGCGTGCGTCATGCGATACATTGCACGTGTGCACTCGTATCAGCTATACTCATTGACATTAGTCACCGTAACAGTGCAGTCGGTGGCAAGGCGATCACGTTATCTCACGTCGCGAACACAGTCCATACGAGTGCACACGCGTTGCAGCTACAAACGCGACGGATGCAAACATTTAGGAGAACGATGCAACGAATTGAGAAAAGGTGTAATGTTAGATCGTGAATCAAACTTGATGTCGTCAAACGGACTGCACACAAACGGCTGCTCACGGGAATCCAATCAACCAAAGATGACTCAGCGTTGAAGCTGAGATCAATTCCCACCCCAGCTTGACCAGTAGTTGTCGCATCGGCGTTTCCGGATACGTGCAACCAATAGCGAGAGGAAGAGCCGGGCGCAGCTAATTCAACAACCCCACGAGGGTCATTAATCCTAGGTTCGGACACACAACACACGTCAATACTCAGCGTGTCCAAGGTGCGTGCGAGTGCAGCCTGTTGACCATTTTTCTTAGAAGGGGAACGTTGAAAGTTGCGATGGAAACGGAACAGTTTGGTCTTATTAGAGACTGTATCTGATAGGCGTCCAGTGGGTGGTGCAGGAAAGTAGCTGCAGTTGGTTCGAATCCAGTGACATTGCGGTTGCTGTCAATTAAGCTGGGAATTATAGAAGGACTGTTAGTAATGACGATTGGGATGGGAGTAAGAGAAACAGGTGGAAAAGAAAGAAGGGAGGCGCCAGCAGTAGTATATTTTCGCTTATCCGCCCTGCTGTATGCAGCAGATAAGGCGATCCTTGATAATCTACGCGACGGCAGATGCAGGATGTGGTTGAAGTTTGAGGAAATAGTCATGATTGTACGTGGGCTGAGATACTGCTAGGGCACTCAGACCTAGACAGGAGGAAGAGTAAGGTCCTCAACCAAAGCCTTTGGCTCAAAAACCTGTCCGCGAGGCAGCAGTGGCAACAGAAAAGGATACCGTCCCACTTCAAACCCCAACCTGGAGAACCAGACTGTTTGTCTAACCTTTAACGACTGACCAACCAGATAGTAGTTCTCCAGGGGCACCCCGGTATAGCTCAATGGGTCAAAGAAGTACGCAAACTGTCGCATTATGTCTCGTTGTGACAAAAAGATGACACGAGGGCCTTACGCGGTAAATCTTATTGGATAGCAATTTTCAAGTATCAACAACATGAGCCAAGCTAAGGAAGTCAATTTTTATTTAAAGCTTAATGCATCTCTCGAAATAATATTGGAACTGACTGAGAGTTATTAATTTCAAAATGTCTTGAGCACAATTCGGTTGTATTGTGGCATCATCAGTGTGTTCTTGTCACAAAGGTCTGTAGCTCCTAGCTCAGTCGACTTTTGTGAAGGCGGATCTCACCCAGGTCTCTAGTAGTCTGTTGCCTTAAAATGTTCTGTTTGCATTACAGGATACGGTGATAGATGACTATAACAACAACAACAAGAGCAGCAGTATATCAGCCATTTGAAATGATGCTTCTCTGCCATACAACCATGATGACCTATGAAATATAGAATAATAAGATGGAGAGAAGGCGGACTTACCTGAAAACCTTAATGCTCTAGGCAAACATTCAGGGTCAAGGCGCCTACACCTTGTATAGACAACATACCATCACAAAAAGCTGGCTATCGTGTAAAAATAAGGGGGCATCGGCGAGACATCTTCTTTGCGGCTTTCACTGCTCCACGTCATAAGCAGCCATTATCCCGCAGATAACTCAGCGCCAAACACACTTTAAACAGACAATCGGATTAGGAGAAGACAACAGACGCGCCACTGGTGTCGGTTGTGAGCCATGTCCTGCAAAGTTTCTAGCTAAGCGCAAGGCGAGTCACGTGGACTCCAGCCCGGAAGGCGAGACGGACCAACGGCACCGAGTTTGGTCGTCAGTGACTTCATTTCCCGCTACCAAGTCAACTTCTGTCCGCCTTGAGCCTTGCGCCAACCTACACCTGGCAGACTAAACAAGGCCCTCCTAGGTAAACGGTGACCAGGCATACGTAGCACGTTCCCGAGTCAACGCAGCTTATTCGGTGCTATCTGTTTTTCTAGGGTGCTAGCATGATTATCACTACCTAGTATTCGCCTATGCATATCACCATTGCGGACACGCTAGTACCATCCGACACCAGCAATGCATCGCAGACAACGATGATCAAAGACTTGCAGACGCCTCAGATCTCCAGACTGAAGGGGCCGTCTCACTCCCATAGAGCAGAACGGCCCTCACTGTGGCCTTGTATACACGGCCTTTCAGACGGAGGGAAACTCCCTTCTGTCGCCAAAGATGCGGTAGGTTCAAGTAGGCAGCTCTGGCTTTTGCAATGCGTGAGCTCACGTCAGTTTCTATGCGCCCATCGTTGCTGATGCAGTTGCCAAGATAAGTGAATTGATCAACCACCTCGAGTTCCTCGTTAACAAGGGTCAAAGGGTCATAAAGTGGCTGGCGGTCCTGCAGCAACACTGCACTTTGAAGGTGCGAAGTGCATACTAAATAATGGGACCACTCTGGACAGGCTATTCAGGGTTGATTGTGCCGCCGCAATACCGTCGTAAAGCAAGACGATATCGTCCACATAATCAAGATCAACTAACCTTTCACCAGGCAGCACTTCAACGCCTACATCGGGAGATTCCGCAAGGGAACACTCCATGATAGAATCCACGACGAAATTGAACAAAAATGGGGAAATCGGACAACCCTGAGGAACATCACTTGTGGTCGGAAAGCTATCCGACAGGTCACCGTAAACCCTGACGCGGCCTGTAGTATTCGAGTACAGAGCACGTAGGATGATCACATATTTCGTGGGAACATCTCTCCGCAGCAAGACGATATTGTACGCATAATCAAGATCAACTAAACTTTGACCAGGCAGCAGTTTAACGCCTACATCGTGGGATTTCGCAAGAGAACACTCCATGATAAAATCCACGACGAAATTGAACAAAAATGGGGAAATTGGACAATCCTGACGGACGCCACTTGTGGTCGAATCTGTGAGGCAGAATGCGGTGGTTCAGTCGGTCGAAGGCTTTGAAGAAGTAGAGGTAAATGACGTCTGTCCCTCTGCCATCATCGGCCGCTTCTGTCCAACTACTGCGTGCAACCAGTAGGTTGGTAGTGCATGAACAGTACTGGCGGAAACCGCGTTGCTCAGGTGCTATGATGTAGTGGCGTTCTAGATGGTCTACTAAAGCCTCAGCGATGATTGCCTCCATCACCTTGGAGCACACAGGGAGTAGGACCATTGGGCGATAGTTGGCGGGTTCCGAGCGATTACCGCTTTTGAAAGTTGGAGCGATTGAGCTGTTTCCACATGGTAGGCACAATTTGCTTATCCAATCACATTTGGAAGAAATGAGATAATGGCTCGGCCAGCGTTGTTGCTGCTACGCTCAAAGCCCTTGGGTGAATATAATCGATTCCGAGAGAGCTGTAGGTGCGTAGTGAGAACAGTTTCTTCAACATAGCTATGGCAGTAAAATCGATGTTAGTGAGTGTTGAAGTTGGGGTTAGGGCTGTGGGTATGTAATACTGGCGAACGTCTATTTGGAAGGTTGGGGCATACTGCATTCGTAGGGCGTTGGCTCACTCTTCTGCATTCCGTGCCACTCCGACAGGTGTTTTAGGTGGCGGGATACCGAGTTTCACTTTCCGGACGGTGTTATGGTTGTATACGAACTTTCTGTTGTTGGCAAATTCATAGGCCAAATGTTGTTGATGAGTCAATTTGTTCTCACGGACAAGCATGTCTCATCCATTCCTCAGCAGGCAGTGCCACAGTACCGTCCGATCGACAGAATCGAAGGCTGCACGGGTATCCAAGAACACAGCAATCGTTGGCCTCTGATACACATGGCGGAGCTCAAGGATCTGACGGAGTGTGAAGATTTGATCGATGCAGCCGCGACCAGTGAAACCCAGCTAGTTTTCCTCACTGCAGTGATTCTCGCGTTGGGGATAGCCTGCGAAGTATGATGAACACCAGTAGCTTGTAAACTAAGGGGACTAAGCTTATATGCCTCTGCAGTTAAAGAAGATTGTTCGCAGGCCCTTTCTGAAGATGGGGACGACTATCGATTCACTCCAAGAAGACGCAACTTCCATTTTTGACCAAACTTTCGTGATTAAAGCAGTGAGTTTTCGAAATAGCGAAGCGCCACCATCTTTAGATAGAACTGGAGGAAGACAATCGGGGCTGGGGGCTTTATAACGCTCCATGTGGTGGAGCTTCCGCTTGATTTCCTGGTTAGAAGGATGATCTATGGGGGTAGATCACTCGGTACCAGTGCGAGCGCCAGTGGTAGCAGATGGAGCTGGGGGTCAACAAAACTGCGAACCAAAATGTTCGGCCCATCGCTCCAACCGTTGTTGAAGATTGGTGATTAATGTGCCATCCTCTTCGCATATTGTTTCACTAATATCAAACTGAACACCTTCGGTGACTTCCATGTAACGGAAAAGTTTGCCTGTATTACCATAGAGACTAGCAAACTCCATCTCCCTAGCAACTTCACACCACCAAGCTTCGCGGTCCATTTGCAGACTCCTGCGCAACTCTCGACCAAGGGATTAGCGGACTTCACTGTGGCTGGAATCCGACAGGATCAAGCGGCGTTTGTCTATCAACGACAAGGAGACGAAGGAAATCCAAGGCTTCGGTGGGTGACGGGCAACTCCACAAGTGTCGACACGGCCGAAAACTAAGGCACCTTTGATCCGCGCCCACTGAGAATCGAGATCACAGTCAATAGTTGAGCTAACCAATGTTAACAGTGAGGCTTGGTACCTAGTTAAAGTCGCAGGATTTTATAGATTTGCGACGTCCGGTAGGTAGTGAGCGCGCTTGGGTGATCCTCCGAAACGCATGCAAATCCTAGCACGAACCAGTGCGTGATCAGTGTCCAGATAAGCTGACCAGTACGATTGGCAGTCTTTTACGCTTCCGCCCCTTCTGTAACTGATTGATAGCTGGTCAAGCTGGGAGCACTCTTGCGTTTGTGAAGACGGGCGCCAGGTAGCAGTGTGTGCTCTCGAGTGCCGAAAACTAGTGCTCGAAAGAAACAAGCAATGATCAGAGGACAGAGCAAGCAGTCTGTCTCCAATGTCTGATCGACTGTCACCGAGGCCAAAACAACACCTAAGGTAGTGCTCGCTTGGTGGAAGGCGGCCCACCCGTGCGTTAAATTCTCCGGTAAGAATGATTGTATTAGTCCTTCTGGAGGAATGCAAAAGTTTATGTAACTGTTGGTAAAAGCTATGCTTGACTGCATCCGGGCTGCAGTCTGTAGGGGTGTAGGCGAACATGACAAACAAGGCATGCTTAACCTCTCGACGCCTGCTTACATTACATGAACCTCTTAGTCGGACTGCGCATAGCCGACTGTTGACTGCGATCCAGTCAATCAGAGCTGATTCAGCCCTGGCACTCAGTGCGACCCCAACACCAGCTTGGCCAGTGGCGGCAGCTTCTGGTCTCCGGAAAACCGCAAGTGGTATTTGGCGTCAGGGTTTACCGGGTAGGCCATTCCGATGATGGCGCTAGAGCCTTGTCTGAAAGGTAACAGATGTCTACCGAGAGCTTTTCAAGAGTACGGGCCCGACGTGCTTGTTGTCAGCTCTTCATCAAAGTTCGAACATTAAACGCTGCGAGGATGAATGGCGAACTAGATCGAAGAAGAGCTGGAGCTTCAGGGAAGTGAGAGAGGTGTGCGGTCGCAGGACATTGAAAACTGGGAGTTTGGCTGTTACTTCCATCAATTGTCTGAAGTGGATCATTTGTGACGGTGACTGATAAGACATACGAGTACAAATAGGTGAACGACGGGTGGGGTGATCTGTGAGTGGAGGTTAAGCAATTGAGTTAGCAGAGATGATAGGCATAGCAAGAGCAGTAGTCAGCAGTATGGTCCATGATTCGTCAGTGGGTGTGATAGTACCCGGTGGCCCAGGCCGAAGTAGTGTGTTGTCTTAGGGGCCCTACCCCGAGTTTTTGATCAAAGATCTAACCTACTAGGTACCGGGTGCTGTGAGGGCGTCGCAACGTGTTGGGAGCCGGTGACCAAATAGATGGTTCATGCGCCTTTCGGTCCGTGAAGGACCAGGGGCCCAACGCGCCCTTGAAGTACAATGCCTCTCAGGGAGGTGCAAGTGGCAGTGACTTTATTTAGTGACGAGTCACATCCGCCACGTCGCAGTGTTGTTAAACAGGTATTTGTGGCCTTTTATAGTGAGAACGCTTGCCAGGCGAAAACCTACCACGTCCTGGAACACTGCCGCCGAACCATTTGTTGAAACGGGAAAAACCCGAACCACCCAGCTGGTACTACGAGCAGGTTGTTCGGCAGGCCAAGAGTTAAGCTCGATGGGTCAAATAAGTAAGTAAACAGTCGCACAACTTTAGGATCCGGTGTCGTTCCGATGGTCAGGTGGATCTCATGAATGAAAATGAAATGAAATGTGTCAGCTTATACGCCGTAACGGCGCTTCGCTGCCGCGCGACCACCACCAGTCGCGCGCGGGCTGATTATACCGCGAGGACGCCCACCCCTACGCGGATTCGAACCGGTGACCTTATGGTTGCAAAGCAAACGTGCAGACCACTCGGCCACCGGCCGAACTCATTCTCCATATTTTACTCGAAATAGATCTTGACAATAGATCATGAAAAACAATCAACCAGTACGAAAACTGTAACAGTACAGGAATTCGATTCTTACCACGAAACTTGCTCCGCGGTGTCCTGTGTGGGAAATAGACAAGTGACCACCAGTAAGGTTAAGTGGCGCAGAAACCGATGAGGCGGCTCCACTACCAGAGACGTTATCCGATGTTGAGGACAAGAAAACAGTGGGGCTGGTGAGGTCAGCTGAATGCTGGTGAGTTCCCAATGAGGTGGGTTGAAGACTGATCGCAGCGCTGGGAAAGATGGAGGTTGGAACATATCCAACTGTGACAAAGTTCGGGGACCCGGGAACAGTAGATGTAGTTGTGACGGTTTGTGGCTCGTATGAGCTAGCATCCGTCAGAAGACGTGCCTCACGTTCTTCCTTATTTTTGATAACCATCGCGGGGGTGATAAGCGTATCTGGGTTGATATTATGTTCCTACAGGAAAAAATGAGACCGGATGAGAATAATTCGAAGTGTTGATCAGCGGGTGGCATGTACAGTTGTATGGTCATAGACATAGGCACAGTGATTGGGCACTCGATAATGCGAAGAACACACACCGAAGTGGTGAGTTACCTGTAACGCAGCCACATGAGTGGGGTTTTTCTGAATCATTGGTCCTCCGTAGGATCCGGACGAGGTGCCAGCGGAAGGCAATTGTCCAGATGACGTACTTTCAATTGTGGACACACCAGCCTGTGTGCCTGGCGGATGGTCATAACCCAAATGACGGTGATGTCTATGATGCGTTAGCAAAGCGGGAGCCGTGGAGGAATGAACAGAATGCCCAATCGCACTGGCAGCGTAGGGACCGGGTGACGAAGATTGCCCGGGATTAAGTGGAAAAGTGAACAGACCGCTCCCAGAAGGGCTGGTAAAATTCAGCTGCATCCCACCGCCTACATGATAACCTGTTAATGCTGAAGCACTTGTGTTCTGTGGTCCAGCGAAACCGCCAGGTGGTTGTCGTCGGCTGGTCATTGAGCGGTGGTGTTGTGTTGGATGAACTACCGGAGGGCTAAACAAGCACTCCTTGATCGCCTTGCGCAGAAATCGTGACTGATTATTGTCGTTTGCACGGACAACATTCAAAAATTGCGCCAAATAGGGAGGGAATGAAGAAAAGCTCTCGAATGCCGCTGTGTTAATTGAGGAAGCATTTGAAGCTACCGCTGATGAGATTGCAGATTGGAGATACTGATGGCGTAAAACAAGGGGGTACAAAATGAAAGAAAAAAATTACGTGTACCAATCATTACATATTGGAACGGCCTAAAACATTGTCATAGTTGAAATAGGAAATGTATTCTATAATTCTAGGCAAGGAAGCCGGAAAACGCAGGCTGTGAGATGACGTCGTAATTTCGCGTATTCTCATGAATCGCATATATATAATCAATGATAGGCACAAGATGTACGAGGTCACATTAGATTGACTGATGACCAAATGGTGACTGACGGGTGCGCCTTGCGCTTCTACGGTGGATGCGATATTACTGGCAGTTGCTCTTGTATGCGGAGTGGCGAGTACTCGCGATCGATAGCAATGACTTCGATAGGCTGAAAGATGAGAGACCTTTGATTAAGCATAGCAACTGCGAGTGACGCGCCTGAGTTGATTTTGTGACCAGTGTTCAACAAATTGCTCCTGATTGTTGAGGCAACCTTGCTTCTTGATCCACCCGGTTCAACCGTCATGGGTTTCTTATGCTTGTGTAAACACCTTAGTATGTGTTCGTCGATCCAGATACTCAGACTTTGATCTGTACGCCTAACGTCTCTTTGCCTATAGGTGAATTCGTATAAACACTGGAATGTGTACTGCTTTGAGACCGGTGTCTTCATCAAAGACGCTGGCTTTGTTCTTATCGACAAGAGCAACCGCAACTCGGCTCCATTAGTTACCTTTTTCAATGACGCGCTTATCCGTTTCGAGGTGACTTTCATGATGTGGTCACCTTTGAACAAAAGTTCCATAAACACCGGTTTCTTCGTTCGATCTCATTTGGTCCTATCACTTCATGAAAATGACAACACTTGCGAAATCCCCGCTGGTTATTTTGACTGAGGCCTCGTTAAAGAAGCCAATAAGTAAAGAACGAGTGAGCACACTATATCTAATGAGATAGTTGATAGAGTATAGCAGAGGTACATACCTGGAAAGCGAGATAGCTACGGTAGCGATTGACAGCAGCAACAGAATCAACACTCGAATCCTTTGAATGTAGAGCGGTTGTCCCAACCGACCCGGACGCCTGAGCAGTAGCCCCAAGATTTATGCAAGACGCGGATGTCTTCAATTTGCTCTTCACTTTGCGACCAGTTGAACCGTGGGTACTGCTGTTGGATGTCGGTGAGGCAGCTGTAGGGTTAGAATAAAGTTATGACGTAAACGATTATGCAAAATAAAAATGTGTAGAGAAGATAACGCACATTCCGATATGGCGATGCTCGTCTTCACTTCTTAGATGCGTAGCATAAAAGAAGGATGAAGAATCCGGATGGGTTGATGAGGACAGTTCTATTGATGGAACAACTAAAAAAGAGTGTAATGCTCATAAAAAACACTAGGCTTGGTGGGGCGAAGAAGCTTACTAATCGCAATTAACTTCTACAAGCGAGTGGGGAAAATAATTGTAGCAAGGAAATAAAACAGTCGACATGATGAGAACAATTCATGGCGATCTACGCTGCTCCAGTGAAAAGCCTCATGCTGAGGCTCATGTTGCATACACCATGCTTCTTCATCACAATTGGGCTACACCGACTTACACTTAGACTAGATCTTCTTACCTGGATAAAAAGTAATCCTCTTTATTTGATTTGCTCAGTTCTGTTATTCTGCTGTATATTCCGTGTCAATCTTGCGTATTTGATTTCTTTCGAATTCTATGTTGGTGCGGCTGCGCTTGATGTGAATGCTGACAAGGTGCCTATCTGTCTAATGCCCTCCACTACGATTACTGGCTCTAGTGGATTGTGAATCGTTGTTGGGGGGGGGGGCACGGAGTGTACGGTCCTCGTGACGGTGCAAGGCTCAAAAAGTGGTTCCAATCAGTGTGGAGCGGACTACGGCCCAGTCACCGCCTTGTGTACCTGATACGCACGGTTTCTCAATTACACATAAATGCTTCTGTTGTGCTTGTTGAAAGAGTGTGTGCCGGATCCGTTGAAGAAACGTGGCTTCCATCCACATGCCTCCCGGTCTTATTCCTTCGGGTTTACAATGGATATGGAGTGTGTGGATGGAGCTGTGGGTGGTGCAGCGCAAGCCACCCATGGTCCCTTTGTATGCGCAGGCGACCTGTGGTGGTCCCCTTGGAGGCCACAGTGACAAGCAAATCCGGAACCGGATGTCGCCAACCACATGGTGAAGCCGGAAAATAACAACAGATGCGCGAATGTATGCGTTAAGGCATATACTTACTAGAGGGGGTAGAAAGGTTTTCTGGTGGAATGAAACCATTCGCCTGAAGGAAACTGCATGCGCCAGTCGGAAGAGACGATATGGCGGTGTTGATAATCCCCAACATTTTTGAATGCATCAGAAGACATTGACGAGCGCCACGGAATCCACGCACTGGGAAGAAGTTGTTAATGAAGAACTCAGCAAGACGGAAATTAGGCGATAACGCAGAATTCGATGCCCCAGGGCCCATCGCGTCAAAATTCGTATCCTGTAGCTTCAGGATGCTCTGTAAAACAAATAGAAATGTATCCAAATGAAAGATTATGACAGAGCAAGCATACACGAAAACAGCAGCAGGCGATAAACCAGGGAGGGATTACTCAGACACGATGGTCACTGACGTCACACAGGGTAAGTCAGCTTTTTTCCCCAGGGCATGCCCGTGAGTTCAGATCACAGAAGAGTTGGTACGAATGCGTACTGATGGCGAGATTCCATAAGAGAAAGTGAATAATCAGTTTTCACAAATGGAATGTTTGCGTCTTAAACAGAATTCGAAATGTGATAAAAATGCAAGCATGCATGGGGCAATCGATTAAACCGTTGACGGTTGAAAGAGCAAAGTGGAGGATGGTAAACGCACCACCACAAACAGAAGCCTGATTGTAATTATGAATGGTGTTTTGCGAAATGTTCAGGTTCCGCATAGTGGATCGACAGAAAGGGACCAGTGATCCAATGCACATACACAATCCGTTTAGTGAACAGCAGTCACAAAGGAGGTGATCGCAGGTGGATTAAAGTACCTGTCACTGCCGATGGGATCGATCCAACTAGATGGGTAGTCTAAAAACAAAACGCCTCCTATGGAGAATCCGTCGCGAACCAACGGGGCAGATCCCACTGCGCGATTTCCTGTAGGATCCGCCTCACAAAACATGAAGTTAATGTGGAATATTTTGAAGTAGTCGGTGTGCTAAGAGATTGCGACGCGCGATCTCAATCACCTTAAAGTGAAGCTTGGTCAACTCGGCCAATAGGACCAGAGCTGAAACAGTTGAACGTTTGGTCGTGCCCATTCGCAACAGAGTGCGCATTTCTGGACCGGTCTCTTACTCAGTTGCACTCTACTTTGCGTCCGGTGGATGAAATTGCAGTTAGCGTTCGAATTTCCAACAGCACTTTGTAAACACGAAAAGCATGATGACTGAGACGATTATAGCCGAGTGCGCTCAACCATCGAGTCAGTAATCCAGAGAGGAAGTACATAAGTTATGGGCAATAGGCATAGCTTCATAAAGCAATGAATTGGTAGGCCGCCTGAAAACGATTAGAGTTAGAAACTAGAGGAGCTTGGCACTACATGTAGTAGGTAAGTGGATATCCCCGCCGAAGCAAAGTTTGTAAGACCAACGGGTTAGTAAATTCTACTAACGAGAGTTTGGCAAAGTAAGCTAAATCGAATCCACTATCACACAGGTAGAAAAACAATAGACAGTAGTTCCGTCTCCCTCGGACTAATCATCATGGCAAAACAATCCAACCACACAGAATATCGAACCCAAAAATCTTTGATTATAGGGAAGCGGATGGTACCATGAGGTCGCTGGGTACGGTGATGGTTAACACGATTGAGCAGTCGTCTGAGACATAGTGCGGCTTATCCTCCATTACCGCGGTGCTGTGGAGGACGTTGTCCAACTGGATTACCAGCTCACACCCTAGATCATCAATTATCAGTAATGCCTAGGTTGGGTCATAATCGATCGTGTCATATAGTGTGAGCGGCATCGATCCTTGCCTTACCTGATATAAGGCAGCTTCTTCGTGAGGAAACCATTCCAAAGGTTTCCCAACGTGCAAATGACCGCTGGAGGCTGTATTATTCATGCCACACGGCGACGGAGGAGTTAACACCAGACTGATCATGCCGCTGGCACCAGCGGCTGCGGTCGCATTGGGTGAGCCCACAGCGGTACGCTGAGTAACCTTGGTTAACAAAGGGGAATACGAAAAGACATAATGATTAGCCTGAAGAGTGATTGATAATCGGAACATGGATTGAAAATAACATGCGGAAATGGTTGATCAAAATCATCGAACTGGTGGAAGCAAGTAGAAGTGACTGGTATTACATAAAATGATCGATCGGATGGGACAGAGACGAGATATCAGGGAAAGATGAGAAGTGATCAGGCTGATTCTCCAGGGGGTTGTTGCTAGATAACCAAATGGTATAACGAGGTAACATGCACATCGTCGTTGTAATGTCACTAAAAAGTATTTCATACACAAGGGATCAAGGAAATAAGTGAGTGATTCGCACGATTGGGAGGCGGAACAAAGTAATCTGCTAGGATACACGGGTGTCATCGATAAGGGCAAGCAAGTGCGATGTGAACGTCGAAGGGCGTTACAGATACATGACGTGCCACGTAATAAAAGACTACAGAGGATTGCCAACCAAAAGATGATGATCTAATAGTAGCTCGTGAGGTAAAGTAAATAAAGATTAAACATGGCTGTAAATAGTAGTCAAGTGAACCAGAGAAATTGTCGTACCGTATATCGGTAGGTCGGAGCGAATCTTTATATGTAGTGAAAAGCGTTGGTAGAAATGTGCATAAGGGAAATTGTGTCAGACAAATTCCAATAGTTTACACTTTGTAAGTCATAACGAAAATGATGACAGGTGGGTGTATAATGAGACGGCGGAGGCAGTGAATTGAAACTCGGCTTTACTGCTATGTACAATAATCAAGACCGCGCTTAGTGTGATCAACGAAGGGACGAAGTTAATGATGGAGCTTCGGGATAACCGATAGTCGGATTCATCGCATGCAAACTGGTAAAGCAATGTGATCGAGTGGACGGGGCGAGGTTCGTAGGTACCCTTACACTTCCCTAAAAAGTGACTCTCTAACTTTTATGCCCGGAGAAATCTTGTTCGTTCCCCACACGTGAAGCACAGACACAGCGGTGAAGAAACGGTAGAAAAAAGCAAGATAATAGGGCTGTTAATTCATAAATAAGGAGAATTATCAAGCTGGAGAAATTGCATATGTAGTTTCATTAGTGAAACCGCACAAAAGTATAGGAATGACGCGATGAGTAGTAGCCCAAGCAATATCTCACGAGTCTTAGTGGACGATGCTGAACTTGTATCGGTGCAGAGCGTCACCGGCCGCAGGAACATTAACACAGCAAGGCACCTAGCCCAAGCACCGACCTAAAGACGGTATTGCAGCACATGTATTACAACAGGCGGAGGTGTGGTCAATACAACAGTGGGGGGATGAAGGTTAAAATACCGTGTCAGCGTACGGTTAGTAAGAGTAGATAAGAGGAAAATGGGCATCTAGAAGAAAAATCCGACGGTTTGGTGATAAAATGAGAGCGGCGAAGAGAGCTCGAGCTGAATGACATATATCTTGTGATACAGATCAGTCGAGCAAGATCATGGACGCAAACAGTACTCATTGTGATCGCATCTAAGTTCGAAAGACGTAAAATTTGCTGTGCCAGTTCATGGGAAGTACGAAATTAGTGGCTCGTAAACATTTCAAAACAAACCTGTGTTGCGTGATGCCTGCCCGGTGAAGTGTGCCCGTATCGGGCCAAAATGATGGGATTCGGAAAGGAGCTCACATTCCCAGCATGAAGCTGCGAGGTGTGACCACTGTATGTCGAGGTGGTTTTCGACAGCTGAGGCGGTAGCAAGTGCACGCCAGCCGCGATGGGGCCGACTGTCGGAGTCACCGATGCAACTGTCCCAACTGTAGTGGGCACGTTGGAACGACGAAGACGGTTGGTACGCGAGGACGAAATCTCTTTGTTGTAGCTCACTTTGGGTATGTGCAACTTGGATCCACCGGTGCTCACATTTCCCACCGTTGTCAAAGTTAACATAACGGTGTTGCCGGATCCGCTACTATGACCGCCAGCAGTGGAGACAACAGAGGAAGCACCCGTTGTTGGTAAATTGATGGTAGACGGCTGGGTGGAGCAGACCAAGCTGCTAGGTAGATAAGTGTCACTAACGGATGCTTTGGAGGAGGCGGCGGATGAGGGAGAAGTCGTCAATTGACTATCGGGCTGAGATGCTAAACAAAAAACAAAAGAAATCCAGGCAGATAGCTCACAAAATTGCGTCTTATTCTAAAGTACAAGTTCAGATAGAACCTGAAAAATGGAAGTACGGTTGTTACCCAGTATACAGGTAGAAATGCAGTCACTATATTCATTAATAAAAGATGAACATAGCAGAAAGATTCGGACGGTTACCATCAAAGATAACCACGGAACAAATTGATGTGTCTCGTGAGATTAATTATGCCACTTCCTTGTTAATAGGACAAGTAAACTAGGTCCGCAGGTGCATACTTTGAACAAGGATCAACCTTCTATGGACTCCAAAGCATACTATCTACCACGCCGGTTTAGGTTCATAAACATATCGACTACCGATCATCAGGATAGGACTCCTCTAAAACGGCAATGAATAAAGTGAAACATGGCAATAATGTGCTCAGTAAAAACGCACTGATTGTGAAAACGTTTGTAGTGATGGTAGGAGTAGTCATAGACGACGTGGTTGTGCCTCGAGCGCTGACCCCAGTTGTACCTGCTAACCTTCGCCGCTTCAAATACGGGCCGGAGAATGAACCGCGTGATCCAGAGGAAAGAGAGGTTGTCAAATGAATGCGCCGACCAGATTTATGCATACTGCACAAGGAGGACTCGGTCCACTTCGAAGAGCGCCCATTCGTATGTGGAACGATTTGCGCGGAAGACACGTGGGTTGTGGGGGCGTGTGTAATGGGTGGTAACTCGTGCTCAGGCATTGGTTCAAACTCATAACCCCAGTCGGGATCGCCAAAACTAAGGTGGGAAATGCCGTTCGCAGGATCGGAGGCGGATTTCCAAATTGAAAACTGAGTGTGAAGATCCTTATCTACCATCGGTACTGCAGGGTGAACTTTGGTGGAAGTTGGCTCTACGTTGCCACCGGCTTGGATGGTTGGCTCAAGAGCATCGAGAGGATTCCATATCTGAAGACGGTGAAAACAGAGAATCATAGTACCAAAAAGACTAGTAGAAAGAATGAGGGCATTAAAAACAAAGACAAATCTATCGAGATAACAAGGCTCAAAAGGTTTTCACCAGATGCTAATGTGAACGAGTGTAATATAGACGAAACGACGAAATGGACAGACACCAGAGTTGCTGACTGGCATTAATGCGTAGTCTGAAGCCCGGAGAGCATTATGTTCCAATAAATGTGAGAAAAGAGTAGAAAAAGGCGCATCCGTATACATGGAAATGGTTAAAGAAACTCGTGAACGCATTGCGAACTCACGGGAAGATCGCTGAAATGTGGTAAACACATATCGTATCCGAAAAATTCCAAATCCATGGGAGGTAATGTCGAGGTGTCTCGAGGAGTTAGACAGAAGGAAGCGGATGAGTTGTAGGACAGCATGCTGCCATGGTGTGTGCCGAAAATCTCCAGCTGGTTCACTGAGTCCATTGCTTCTTGGCATGCGACCTCCCAAGACACCTCGTTTGAATAAGCTAATAGTTCTTGCAAAATAGGTGCTGATAACTGATTTTCTTCCTCCGTCTCCAATAAATGATCTCTGAGAAACAAATCGGATGGTTGGATGAACTCTACGGAATCTTCAGTCTCCGAGTCGAGATCGTCCGAACAGTCGACATCGATCAACTCATCAAAGATTGTCGCTGCGACCGCTACCTGTTCGGCATTTGCGCAGCACCAGGCCTGAGTGTCGTCTGGATCTTCAAACAGCTCCAGCGCACGGAAGAACTAAGTTGAGAAAAAGAACAACCACAAAACAAGAACAGTAGATGCAACAGACTAGGTGAAAGATAAGCGAACACAAACGCTTCAAAAAATCCAAATGAGAGAAGATCACTTCACTATGCAACGAATCGGCACAAAGGAGGACCGGTTTCCAAGAGATATAATTCACTCGGCTAAATCGATCATGGAGATATAATGTAGTAGTGGCAGCAGTGGATTCTTTAGCTCGATGGTGAAAACGTGTTCACTGAGAATAAGACCCTGATATCTACAAGTGAAGTAGCTGATAGGATGATCTTTCAGGACGAGCAAAGTGGAAAGACATTGTAGGGCCTCGACTAACCGCTGATAAAACACAGTGTCTGCGGCGAAAGTGACATAAACTATGCAGATGAGAGTGATCCAACACCCGTCGGAAGTCGAAGCAAGCGATCAAGATTGCATAAATCCAAGTAAACATTTGAATGTAAGAAATGTTCGGCACCTGCGTCCTCTGTTTGTGGTCCGGAACTCAGCACACAACACAGCTACTCCTTTGTCGAAATTAAGAGATGTTAATAGTCCAACAGGGTTTTCGATTCGCTCGCAAACATTCACCGGCTCAGTTCGGCACATCAAATAGTAAAGCAGACACGGAAGTACGATGAAAGGATGGGTGTTTTGGCCAACAAAGCCGTGAGGATAACAATCGAAAAAGATGTAGCATGAGGGGAAAACAGAATTTCACGGGAGTTGTAGGAGGAGTTGAATGGTACAGGTAGAAATTCACCACATCTAGACCTAAGTGGATAGCCATCACACGCCCGGAAAATCACCGTATACCTTCTTCATTCGTTCGTCCCTCGTACTTCAATGGTCTCAATCACACACTGGCGGCAGTCAAAATGCGGGTTCGAGCCCCAGATGGGTCAGATGGAATGCGCATTGCAGATGATCTTTGAAAAGACCAAACAGCCGTACAGCATTTTTCCGGGCAATTGATGGCTACCTGATTGAGTCTAGATGTGATGAATTTCTACCCATAAATACAGGGCGCAGTCAAACTACTAGAAGTGTCAGAAAAGCACTGAATCGCTTTCTGAGAAAGTTGGAGGTAGGCGTTCCCGGGATCCATTGAAAAACTCCAAACCGCGATTCAGGCATAGACAACTGGGCAACGACGGAACATTAGAATAAGCAATATTTAGTATTTGGATTTGTGATAAAGCATACACCACCATCTAATGTCAATTGTCACCGATTCAAACAAATTATGATGCTATAACTTAACTGGTGGAGTATGCAAAGGAAAGCCGACTCAAGGAAGCAGGACACAAAAAAGCAAAGGTGGGCTGCAGCAGAACACAAGTGCTATCGTATTTACATGGAGTGGTGACAGCCACTATTATTATCCACAGGTACAGACCTCTGCTTGCGGAAGCTCAATTGCGATGTTGAGCTCCTCAGCAGTTCACCTAAATCAATCGACTATGGTTCGAGTAGCGGAGCGAGATAAAACCAATTCCAATAACCATGTAACTTGAAAAAACTTTTGACTAATGAATAACAAGAAGGAATGGTACGACCAAACTAGAGAAGAAAAAGAAAATGTTGGATAGAAAGTTTGCTAGTTAGACTTAGCAAACCCAACGCAAAAACTTCCTTGACTTCGCGACCGTGTTATGCGGTAAGAAGTCGCAAACCATTGATGTAGACGATCGAGTGAATGGTCTGGTCGCAGGAAACAGCATGCGCTATCATAATCAAAATTTTAGGTTAGCCTCCGAATGGCTATCCAGTACGTTGTCAGTTTATCACTAGGACTAACAAAACAGGTAAACAGTATCAGCAAACGAGATCGAGGTAAGTGTAATCGACAAACATATGAAGAGAATGGCGGAGCTAATCAAGATCATTCAAGTACCAAGGGGAAACACAAGTCAATGGAATTGGACCCAATCGTAAACTAACCAGCTACGAACTGTGCTGAGTAGACAATCCTGGTCAATAACATCCAGTCTATGCAAGTCCCGACGCACAATGACCAGGTATTTAGTCCACATTGGATGAATTACAGAGGTGCACACAACATGTTAAGGTAAAACCCCACTAGTGAACGCTGGGAAATGGTGACAACAAATAGAAGACCGGATCAATGCTACAACGGTTCCATGAAGTTCGGAGAGTGCGAAGTACATGCAGAAGCGAGCACGCTCCACGTCGGCCAGTTCAGAAACGCTGGTACAGAGTCACAGAGATAGAGATGGCAAGTGTACTCTGAGTTAGGAGTTGAGCACCGAGCAGAACTAGTAGTGTTAGGAGGAGCACCTCCTAACGAACGCATCAGTGAACTCAAAAAGGATCAATATCCAACTTTTTCCAGAAATCAAGCAGAATAATCGCACTGGTTAATCAAAAGAAGGTGCTCGCACAATATAATACTATTATTGGTAAGTAAAGAAGAGAAGAGAACAGAGCTTTAGGGAGGTCGCATTAAACCGTGCCTACGACTCTGGCTTTTTGATTGGCCAATCGGGGGCGAGCAGATTTTCGCGAACAGTCAATCAGAGCGGTGGGGCGACCTTGGTGGCCATAACGAATAGTTGGGAAGAAAGAGGAACGGTGGAATTTTTCATGATCCACTGAAACAAAAGTTGGATTAAACAGCAGTCCTGATGAACAATATCAGTCGTAGTGACGCCAAGTTATCCGTATTATAGTAAACTATACAGAAGACGCATTAACGAGTGTAGGAAATAAGTAACAAACTTGGCTAGCACATCAAGGTAAGGTGACGCCAAAAGCAAACGCGATCAACCGAACTAAATGAAGCGCTCAAGTAACACAAATTTAGGAAATGAGAGCTCACATGCAGCTTCGGTGGTGTTTCAACACCTGGCGTAGTACAAACGCATGGTCAAAGCAACCACAAAGACGATGAAATCCAATTTAACGTTAACTGATTCCACTTCCTAAATGACCAGTCAGTTGCCATAGGATGGTGAATGTACGAAGTGCGTATGACCCGACGGTTCGCACAATGGCACCCTCTGTCCTTTGTAAAAAAAAGGAGGGCGACGACCGGACCAACACTAGTCGAAACCCACCGATGAAGAAAGCTATACGGGACAGACCAACTACGCCAACATCATTCAGCGACGATGGAAAAATGTCAACTTGTCTATCCATCAAACGTCACTTCAACATTACCAGCGGCATCGAATTCTCTCGATTGTAGAATGTGATACAGGAAAAAGGCTACGCAGTAAGCCTGCAGGAAAGCACTCCAAAACGATGTACTTGAAGTCTAAGTCGCTGGGACTGAGAGCGGAACGGCAGTTCAGTTTAATCAGTAGTGACTTAACTGACTCATGTCTATTGGGGACCCGTAGCTCGTGTCCCGTTGCAACAGCATGTCATCAGACATCAATTATTCGGGTGATTCGGGCTACGCGCTGCGGCAGTTTCACTGCCCTATCAATGACGATGTGAAAATGATCCCAATGGGCCCTCGGTTCATCTATGCCGTTCCACCAGATTGAGAGGGCTATTTCGCGGACTTCGAGCTCAGGTGATGAATAAGTAGTCTTTAAATTGCGCATTCCACTAGGATCCAAGGAGTGAATACGCCATGTGAGCGAGAACTAAGGAATAGAGACAAGTGCTCAAAATCGATCAGCCATAAGGCGTTAATATGCGTTAGTCGAAGAAGTAGAATGATCAAGAGAGTCTACAGTACAATTTCGTGTAGTCCATGCCGGGTACGGTAGTTCTGATATTTGTGCTGGAAAATGACGCTACAATTGTTGGGGGAATAATTCGGAAAATCGATCCTCAATATTAGTATGACAATTGCCAGTCTACAAACGGTCTCTTGGGTGTTGATTTGTCGGATATAAACAGACTATCCGTGCACTTATGTCACCGACAGCGAGTAAAGTGTAGGTAGTTCGGACCACGCAGGGGAGGGTTGAAAATTACCGTGCTAGGGAATCGAGAGATGGTTTTCGAAGACATGGTACACCTTAGTTCCAATAGAGTGGCAGAGTGATAACAACAAAGAGCCGTTGACCGGTCGAAGGAACAAGAAAACGCATGTCGATGACGAGTCCCAAAAGACATCTACCGCCATGGAATACGCTTTTGGGTGCTAGATGGTTCCAAACGGAGTAGGATCATGCGGATTCCATTAAAACATACACGTACGCGTACGTGGAAGGAATAGGAAAAAAGGTCCGGAACGCCGTTGAGTTCTTGTTAGTGCCATGATAAATAATGCTACCGACCAATGATGTGAACACTGCAGCAGTATTCTCTCGTTGTCATCATTTTTTGAATCAGGTCATCGGATAGCCATCATGAGGATTCGCAAGAGTAAAACTGTAAAGCGAGCACCCAGATTGGCGGGCAACAAGAGCTTGGTTTAACTTCTCATGTGTTGCATGTGAAGTAAGTGATAGGAGTGAAAGTTGTCGGTGGTGAGTGTAAAAAGTCGGTCCTTCAGGGACAAAACGTATATTCTGCAAACAACAGGACCAGGCGAAAACGGAGACCGACGGCGAGTGAAACATATCGGTATATACAGCTAGTTGGATCCATAATTAACGACCTTTGTTGATGCATGACATTTTTCCTTTGATTCAGTCAAACAAACTCACTCCAATGCGTCCAACTGTTTGCCAATCAGCGTGCATGCGAGAAACGTGTGAACGTCCAATCGGCTGCCGCCTTTGCTTGCGGCAGCCTAACGGCTTCCTTGCTGGGCTGGCACCGCACGTTCGTTCGAGTGTATACTCCCATCACATCCTCCCTTTTTTCATGTTCTTGCTGCTGTACTTTGCTAAATAGTCCATACACTTTACCACTCCGCGTCCTCTTTGTTGGATCTGCCGATGTCGCCTCATTGCCGCACGCAGTATAACGCTCTCTCCCTGATTCATGCTGTCGCCTCGGACATCTCCTCAGCTGTACTCGGTTTCTTCTCAGCTTCTTCCCTCCAACATTTACTTCGTATGACCTTTCACCGACTTGCGCAGCCACGACTCCTTTTCTCCACCGCTCCTGTCCATCGGGAATTGGTTCAACCCATACTTCTTCCCCCACTGTCAGCTCAGGTAATTCCCGTGCGCTGTTGTCGTAGTACCGTTTCTGAGTAGCCATTCGCCTTTTCAAATTGTTCTGTACTTTCTCAAATTGTGGCGTGACAGGGTGCAGAAGTGTTGCGGATACAGGCATCACAGTTCTGGTCCTTCGACTGTATAGGCGCTGCACTGGGCTCAGGCCGATATCCGTTGAAGGAGTGTTGCGACTCTCCAGTAGCATGAGGTATGGGTCCTCCCGAGTATCTCTAGCCTTCGCTAGTAGTGGCTTGACTTGCTTCACTGCCGACTCTGCCTTCCCATTTGATTGACTGTGATAGGGACTGGTTTGCCGGTGTGCGAATTCCCATTTGGTTGCGAAAACCTGGAATGCCATGCTGCTGAACTGGGGACCGTTGTCCGAGACTAGCTCCTCCGGTATCCCGTGCCGTGCGAATTGACATCTGAGTTTGTTGATTACTGCTTCAGTGGTCGTCGTGGTGAGTAAATCGATTTCAGAGTAATCACTATAGTAGTCCACCGTGAGTAAGTAATCCTTTCCGTTGTCCCAGAACAGATCCACTGCTACCTTTTGCCACGGTCGGTCCGGAACATCATGCAGCATCATCGGTTCCTTCGTTTGCCGAATGTCGTGTGAAAGACAGGCCTCACAGTTAGACACATGATCCTTGATCTGACCTGTCATTCCTGGCCAGAACATCAGTTCTCTTGCTCGATTAATAGTGTAATTTGCACCCAGGTGAGCGCGATGGACATGCTCCAGCATCTCCTTTCGGAGAGAAGAAGGGATTAGGATTTGACTTCCCTTGAACAACAGACCGTCACAGACAGTGAGTTCGTCCCGAAAATTGAAGTAGGGTGTTAATTCTTTCGGGAGCTGCTTCTTTGTTTCTGGCCACCCATTGAGGATAACGTCTCGCAAAGCTGCAAAAGTTTGGTCTTCCTCCGTGAAACGCCTTATGTCTTTCAAACGGTTTTCTGTCACTGCCAGATGCTGCACCATGCTAACTGTCTCGATCTCTTCTAGATGATGTTCGGCCACTGGCGAATGTTCTCTCGACAGGGTGTCCGCGATGAACATCTGTGTGCCAGGTGTGCACACAATGTCAATGATCAGTGTACACGGTTGTCTTTCTTCCAAAAGTATAATCATTGAAACGCTCCATGGCATAGACCACTGCCAGCATCTCTTTCTCGATCTGTGCGTACCGCTTCTCGGCCTCCGTGAGTGCTCGACTGCGGAAATCCAAAGGTCTTCCGTTCTGCAACAGAACAGCACCTATTCCACTCTGGCTACTATCACACTGTACCTCCAATGGTTGTGCTGGATCGTAATATCCGAGTACGGGCGCATTACTGATAAGGTTCTTAATGGTTTCGAAAGCCAAATCCTGTTCCTTCCCCCAGCTCCAATTTACTCCTTTGTGAGTTAACTGCCTAATCGGAGTCAAGACATCAGCGAGTCCTGGTAGGAACCGGCTTAAATAGTTCACCATACCGTTTAGGCGATGGACTGCCTTCACATCGTTAGGGGACGGTATCTCTTGTATCGCTTTAATTTTCCCTGGGTCAACTCTGATTCCGTCGGATGTTAACACATGCCCATGGAAAATCACCTCCTCTTTCCGCAGCTCTACTTTCTCGCGTTTTAGCTTGATGTTCTTTTGCACGCAACGCCTCAGGAACCGGTGTAGCTTAGTGTCATGCTCTTCTTCGGTAGAACCGTAAATCAGAACGTCATCTGCCACACAGGTTACGCCATCTAAATCATCTATTGCTTGCACCAAACGCTTTTGGAAAATTTCGCTAGACACCTTCAGGCCAAACGGTAATCGCAGCCAACGATAACGTCCGAACGGTGTAGCAAATGTGGTGAGGAAACTGGATTCGTCGTCTAGAACAAAGTGCCAGAATGCGGAAGAAAGGTCTACTTTCGTGAAAAACTTAGCTTTTGTCAAACCCGGTAAAACATCTTCTAACGTCGGTAGCGCATAATGTTCTCTACGCAGGGCCTCATTCAGTGGCTTCGGGTCTATACATACGCGTAGTTCGCCATTTTTCTTCGTAATGATTGCGACCTGGCTAACCCAGTCTGTTGGCCCATCAACCTTTGCAATCACCCCCTGCATAACCAGCTTGTTCAATTCCGCGGAAAATCGGCCACGTAGCACAAATGGGACTCTCCTAGCAGGTAACGCAATCGGGCGTACCAAAGGATCTAACGACAGGTGAGCGGTACCCTCGAATTCCCCTAAACCCGGGCTAAACACAGACGGATACAGGTCACTAACATCGGTTTCACTCTGACAAGCGTACACAAAACGATCATGGTTAAAAATGACAAAGCCAAGAGATAAAATCGAATCAATGCCGAGAATGAGCGTGAGATCCTCATCCACGATCACGAATTGCAGACGATGCGAAACACCGTCTCTCGGGTTGACCACTTCAATTGTCGCTGAGCCCTTTGGCTTGAGTCTGGAACCATCCCACATGCGCAAATAATCTTGATCCGATTGAATTTGCACGCCGCGGCAGTGCTTTCTGGGCAAAATATTGATCGTCGCGCCTGTGTCTAATTGGAATCGCACAGACCGTCCCTCGATCAGAAGACTTGCATAGACACACTTCTGCGACGCTTTCCGAGACACGTTACCAATCGATTGTTCGGTGTCTTCTTTTGATTTGTCTGGAACGAGTGCACTGACATCTGTCGACTGACAGCAGCGGGTGAAGTGATTGCGCTTCCCACATTTGACACAAATGCGGCCCCACGCCGGACACTGTTCGCGGTTCTTCGGATGTCGTGTTGCACAGAAGTTGCTGGGCTCCTGTCGCGCGGTGGTGGCCCTCGTAGTTTTGCTCCTGGAAACGGCGCACAACTCTGAATCATCTGCAGGAACTGATAGGCAGTGGAGGACTCACTGTTACAGATGTCGATACATTGCTGCAGAGATAGGTTGCGCTTTCGTAATAGTCGCTTCGTCAAACCTTCGTCATTGATCCCAAGAACAATGCGGTCCCGTATGAGACTGTCCGCCATGCATTTACAGAAACTGCAGGATCGGGCCAAAATCTTTAGCTCAGTGACGTACGTGTCAACGGATTCACCTGGCCGCCTGTTCCGCGAAAAGAAGAGGTAGCGTTGAAATGTCTCGTTTGTTTGGCCTTCGCAGTATTCACTGAACTTCTCAAGAACTGTCTCCAGATTGTTGGCATCTTCGCTCTTGTCGTAACACAATGTCTCTAGCACGCGGCGCGCATCATCTCCTGCTGCGTGTCGAAACATGGCCAAGCGGTACGCCATCGGTTGTTTGTCCAGACGCGATAAAGTGCAGAAATTCATCCATTTGCTCTTCCACAAACGCCAGTTGCTTGCCAAACTGCGTTCATCCATGTTCAGCGGGGCAGGTATTTGAATAGCCGGTGCAGCTCCAATCATCGTCTAGGTGGTACTAATGTTCTTCTACTTCTCTGACACCATGTAAAAAGTCGGTCCTTCAGGGACAAAACGTATATTCTGCAAACAACAGGACCAGGCGAAAACGGAGACCGACGGCGAGTGAAACATATCGGTATATACAGCTAGTTGGATCCATAATTAACGACCTTTGTTGATGCATGACATTTTTCCTTTGATTCAGTCAAACAAACTCACTCCAATGCGTCCAACTGTTTGCCAATCAGCGTGCATGCGAGAAACGTGTGAACGTCCAATCGGCTGCCGCCTTTGCTTGCGGCAGCCTAACGGCTTCCTTGCTGGGCTGGCACCGCACGTTCGTTCGAGTGTATACTCCCATCACAGTGAGTGATGACAACATGTTAACAACCCACAGAGTCATACGTCTCAGTGATAGGGATCGTGTATCGCGATTCGCTCTCAAGGTGATAGCTTCATCAATTTTCAGATCATTGAAGGGACAAAGACCGAAGACAGGAGGAACAGAAAGCTATGGTGAAGATCGACCGATACACATACTGGATAGGTTAGCGGAGAATGGGAGAAGGGGAACAAAATGACAGCCAGCGTAGAAAACACACATGGATACGCAGCAGAGCAGCAATTCGTGAAAATATACAGCGCTGTTCATTAAAACAAAGGTAAATTGTGTCGATCAACGGTCGAAATTCATTGGAAGCTCCTCATAATGAATCTAGAATTCTTCCGATACCGCAAGGGCACAAAAACCGTGATGGTTATGTGGATCAAACCAGTGGCAAGCAAGAGGTGTCAAAGCGCGCAGAGATGGTTACGGCGGAATGTCAGTTGCGATCGTGAGAGCAGTGACAACTCCCCCAATCTATATATAAGTATGGAGGAACAAAAAGGTGGATCAACTCACCAAGTTTTCACTTAGTGGCTCCCGTTCCTGGAAAGTGATAAATTCGCCCTCCCTTGGAGTCTCATCCCTCCGACCATCAGCTGCCGGATAAGACATGGAAGACATCACCGAGGATGGGGATGAGCAAGACATTGCCTCTTGCTTAATCGCAAGGATGGAATCGCGATCCAGTCCAAGATGTTTGCACGACGTCACCCATGACATCGAGCGGTGATCCCACGCGGTGCGAGAGTTGAGAAACTCGTTAACGACGTTGGGTTGAACTCGAGCAATAAAAAGGGCATTGCGATCCATTGAATCACATGCATGGGCCTGAAACACGGATTCAGGTAGCAGGCGACAGGCAACACCGCTAGAAATGCTAGCTTCTACGCTGGAGCACAAAATAGCACGACCAGGTTCGCCAACAGATACCAAGCGATATACACGAATGATAGGAGTCACCATATCGGTTTTGCCTCGTGCTTGACTGGCAGCCAGACCGTTAAGCGCCCAACTGTGAAGACTATAAGAAGAGAGGTTACAATGAACGACGACAAGGAAAATAAATTGTTGGATTCATGGATGAAACCGTAAACGGACAGATTTGAGGCAGTATGTATCAATAACATACCAGTAGTTTGCGCTGACGCTTTGCCATCATGAAACAACAAGCGATCTTATGAGTGTCCAAGCTTAAGCTGGGGCAAGGACTAGAACTAGGGGCAGAGGATGCAAGTCAGACACCTAGACCTCAGCACCATGAGGGAGAAACAAGTGAAATAAACCATGCAACAATGTAACAGCATTCACGTCTGGTGAAAGGATCGGTGTTGCACCATAGAACGAAAGTTCTAACTCGACGAGGTGCAATCAAACACAAACAAAAGGCGCCTATCGGCCATTAAAACAGGACAAACGTGACACGAAGTAGTATACGTAGATAGCAATAACCCACCCACGTCTATTCTCGTCGTCAGAAGCAGAGTAGGACATGGAGGCTCAGTAAAATGGTGAATGGACTCAAAACACTATTGAAGCACATTGTTGAGTTTTAGAATTGTTTAGAATGAGACACGCAATCTCAATTGGAACCACAATTTGATTCGAGTAAACATTGGTTATGGGGGCCGCATCCGAAGCGAAGTTTTCGTTGTAGCTTCTTCCAAGCATCGCACTGGAAGACCGACTCCGTGATCGTATGGACTCTGCAGGCAGAGAAAAATGGAGATCTGGGAGTGGGGCCTTGGAAGTAGCTGTTAACGGCTGGCGCTATGCTCACAAGTATAGCCCTGTGACCTATTGAGTATGACATCAGTCGAGAATCATTGAGTCCTGGATTGCACTCGCAGCTCCAGTTATCACTATCTGAAGAGGCCAAATAAGTATTAAACCTATCGCATGGTGCAGTGTTGGAATTGGTCAAGACCCACTTCAGATGCGGTGCAGTGATCAAGATGATAGACGATCGTTTTAAAATAAATTGCGTTCCCAATCGAGATTGCGTATCGTAATGCAGATGCAAGGTGGGTACTCCAACATACAATAACAAATTCCCAATCGCTGTGCCAAGCGTTTCGTGCACAAATCAATGGCTTAGTGAGCATCGTAGCAGAAAAATTGTAACGGGGGTTACATTGGAAAATAATCAACGTCGTGTCACATGATGGTGCTTGATCGACCCAACAGAAATTTTTCGCTGTCTTAAAGCCCAACGCAGAAAAGACGGAAAGTGGAGAAAGATGAACATCCGAAGGTCTGGAAGAAAATTACCACTAGATCAAACGAAGACTTACAGGGAGCGCAGCTGGTCCAGAGAATCTGAGCGCCAATCCACATCACACAGGATGACAACAGTATCTGATCCGGCTCGAAGTCCAGATATATACGAGACTGGACTCCGTGAATGTATCAAAGCGAAAAGCGTGCCCTTCGAACCTCTGGGCCAGTTGTTTATTTCGTCCACAGATGAACAGGACTCCGGACCAACCGCTCGATAATCATGCGGTAAAATTATTCGACGAAGTGAACTCCAAGATGAGGCGCTTAAGTAGGCGTCCAGCAGAGTCAGGAAGGAAATGCGGTGTGCCAACAGGAAAATGCAACGAGGGTGCTTTGAAACGCGTGCACCAAGAAATCCTTCCAGAAGATTGTTAAGAGTAAAAAACTTTCCTGTGGGAAATTGGAAAAAGATGGATGAACAGAATGCTATCGTTTCCTTTGAAACAAACAAAACATGAGAAAGATTCAAATATCCCCTTAATTTACCAGGCCAAGAGGAGGAACACGATGAGGGGAAACTAGCGCACTAAGGGAGACAGTGGAGTAATTTCGGTGCAGCCACACCAACCGCCCTGCCTGTATCGTGCTTGCGGATGGACTTACATCGGGAAGCATACGGTAGTAGCTGTGATTAGTTCGGGATCAGGCGAAGTTGTTATAAAGCATCGCGTGTGAGTGAGCGCTTCTGCACCGCCAGGGAATATTTAAGTAATATACTCTATATGCAACTTCAGCCACGAAGTCAAATGCATACTGGATGGGTGCATAATTAGCACTAGATTAGCGACAATTGGTCATCAGTAGATTTTCGCAGGGGGGGAGAAAAGCGCATACTTGCACAATGTGTTGGTCGATAAGCATCCGGTGGTGAGTAACCCCGTCGTTAAAGTCAAGTATAATAGTGATTATCGTCCATACATTCGCCAATCGCCATACGGATAACAAACATTGGCAAAGTTATAGTCAATGGAAAGTACAAAAAGGATACTGAGATGGATCGTACACAAGGGCTTAAGTCCCAGACACCGGTATCTTAAGGGGATCATCCTAGTTAACGCAACAGAGAATAGATTCAACCATAATTCGATGCATCGAGACTTAGGATGGGAGGACAAGAGAGTCGCATAATGAGGTTTTCGGTCAGGTCAAGGCCACGAGGGACAACCGCATATGTCAACGAACAAAAAGAAGAGGACTCCTTGATTTTTGCAGTGATTTCGATAGCCGCATAAATTGTATCCATCGACAAATGGTTGGAAGCAGGATATGGGTATACGACTGACCCACACGCCGTTGTGAGTGAGGATAAAGATCTTTTAGAGTTCAAGTTACCGGACAGTATAATCAATCAGTAACATTCCCTACTAAATCGCTCGGTTTGACTTTCTATCTACGCAACTTCGCTGCAGAATCCATGGTTCAAAATGTTACTTATAATGCAGATAGTTTGTTAAAGCATACTGGGATACATCGTCCAGCGATTCAGCAATATTGCAGCGGCTAGGCACACATTGTCTAGAGTTTGTGAGTCAGCTACAACCGTGATGCGACCTCAGTCCCACTACCAGTACACCACTAATCAGTACAAATATAAAGCGGACACAAACAAGAACAAAAAGGGTTTTATCTTAGTGCAGTCGATACATGTGATGTGTGTCGGGCTGAATCGTGCGTAGAGTGGGGACGGCTTTTCAAACAACGCAGTCAACATCACCACAAACAGTGCATTTGTCCTATTCAATGGCGTAGTAGAAATGAGCTGGAAGACCACAACCAGTCTGTCGTATCAAACAAACAGATAAAACAGTGAGTTTAAAGAGGTCAGGAATCATCATTTGATGTAATTATTAAACAGCGTTCCGTTCTGGTGACAAAGGCTAGGTGAATCAGTATGCATTTGGGGCGATAGTATGTAGCGAACAAGTGTGATGGTCACGATACCAGGGGTTATATCAAATGTCTGGTGGGTGCACTGTGCTGAACCAACTCGGGATGAATGTAAGTCGAATTCTCCGAATTCCTCGCAATTTGCATACAACTTGGAGACTTCAACGGGTGCAAGGTAAGCACGCACAAGCTGCGCCTCTAGCCGCCGAGTTAAAAATTATGCAAACGATGTGGAACGAAAATGGGGGGAATGTGAACAAGACGGTGTTGATTGGTCCCATTAGATAGATTAGGGTCTATGCGACATGTCCTATGCATAAATGATGGTAGTGAAAGAGGCAACAACATAACCCGATTTCATCGATGCTGCTGCTGGCCAGCTACTGTGGGAGAGTGCAAGCCTGCGTAGTAGTCAGCTACCAAAGATGTAAAGAAATCGCTGAACAGATAAGACCTCTGCTCGATGCACGACGTATTGCCAATGAGGTCACAGTACCTGTCCTGATGTTGCACATTGGTTCACTCACCCGTCACTTCCTAATAGACCGAAGTACATGTCCTTCAGATGTCCAATGGGCGATGGTAGATTAATGGTGGATGTTTGTGAGAAGTGTAAAGTTCGTAGAAAGTAGAAGTCACAAACATCCAAATTTAATCTACTATCGCCCATTTGACATTCGAAGGACAGATACTTCAGCCCATTGGGAAGTGACGGGTAAGTGAGCCAATCTGCAACACCAGGACAGGTACTGTGAGCCCATTGGCAATACGTCGCGCACCAAGAAGAAGTCATGTGTTAAAATTTGCGCACCTAATCGTCAGCCCTCGGTAGCTCAGTGGTAGAGCAGCGGACCGGAAATTCGTGGACCGGGGTTCGATTCCCCGTCGACGCACATTATTGTGCGTGAATGTTAATCGTGACTTCTACTTTCTACAAAATTTACACTCCTCACGAACATCCAAAGATAAGACCTCAGTTTGGTAAGACTGATCGTGTGTAATTAGGCGTTGATTCTAAGGTTGGTATAACAAATGTTCAGACAAACAGGCTTCTCTTAACACCCTAGTAAAGCAGCTTATTTTCATTGGGCAGGTCAAATTGGAAAGCACACAGTAAACCAGTGGATTTACCAGATTCATGGAATAAACGGCTGAGCGGGGTGAATAAAATTTCGGGGGAATATGGAGAACGGTTGAAGAAGCACGTGTTGTTGACCGAAAGCCATCGGGCCTGTTCTGTGAAGGCGTACAACGCACGAACCACATTGGACAATTGACACACGAACGGACAATGTGACGTGGAGGATGACTGAGCACCGTATTCAAAGTCATGTGAACAAGCGGGAATGGGACAGGGAAAATGCCGTAGACAACGGGTTACAAACAGCGGAGTAAATGCGAGTGCGGGAGATCTGGAGCACAGCAGCCTGCGATAGAAAAAAGAAGTATATAACTACATGCATCAAATTGGCATAACTGGAATCAACAGGATCAATAATGTTCCACGATGATGGCTAGAACAATTCGTCAGGCTTACGATGCTGCTAGAGGGGAATGGGAACGAACAACGAGCACTAATTGGTGGTAGAAGCGAGTAAACTGACATGGGGAAAATTGAACGCGTGGAAGCAACTAAAATAAGTTAAGATCGAATCAACAGGGAAGCAATAGAAGGGCAACAAGAAAGACACCGTAAGGAACACCCATAAAGGAGGAGTATGTTCACGACATTTGGTGGATGCAAATGGAAAAACACTATGCTGCGTGCTGAAAGCAAAAGCCGAAGTGACACACTCAGCTCAGTTGAAGAACTATGATCCAGACACCGAAGTGTCCCGGAATTACAACCAACCAGGATGAAATAGTAACAACCAGATGCAAGAAACCGAATGCGGGAGTGCTACTGACTGCGCTGCTGTCATCTTCCATAGGGCCAAATGGTGCATCGTTTAAATCCTGTCGCTTGTGCAAACTGCATAAAAAGACGGATTGCGGTGGGAGTGGAGCACAAATAGGATATGCTAGCGGAATTTACCAGATAGCAGGATTGCTGTTACTGCCAATATTCGACCAGTGCATGTAGAAGTCAATCAAATGACTAAATCCATACTCCGAAATAAACAAAAAGGATAAAGTTATCCCCAGTATTTTCTCCCAGAGATTCAAGAATAAAATAATCAAGTTAGCCCTTATGAAGATTGTTTATGATGCTAAGTTAAAAAAAGTAAAATCCGTGGAAGCACGTAAAGCTTCTGGGATCGCGGTGCAGAGATTTCCTAATGGAGAGGATCTCATCTAACGCTGACTTCAAAAAAAGAGAGTAATCTCATGAAATATGTATTACCACCGGCATTGCTGTAAGCATTGCATACACTGACGCTTCGTCGACATAAGAGATTTGCGTTATTAAGGTAGAATAAGTAGGGAGAGAGCAGATGACAAAGTGAAACCCCTTAATGCGTTAAACAGGCATCAGGATCCATGCGTCTATAAGCTATTAATAACCAAGCAACTGGTCATCGTGTAAAGATAAAACGGTACGATGCGATAGCACCCTTGCGTCTTTCGTCTTCTCGTCCCAGTTGGTTGGAGCCATCCCTTTCTGATATATCCTTTCGAAAAGGCAAGTCAGTTCCTTGCAGAAGATCTTACCACCGTTTTTAGAAAATGTCAATATTACAAAATTAGCACCAGTACCGAGGAAAGATTTGAGGACTCTGGTCGCCAGAGTTCAGACCATAGATCAACACACACCACCTGTACACGAAGTCGCTGAGGTCCAGAGTTCAGATGAGTTTATTTATGATCCGTGTAAAAAAGCGCGACGAATCCAGTCGTTCAGATTTGGGTCACCAAATCAGGGTTAGATAGCGGTTGAGTTGTTCACTGAGTTTGACAATTTTGTTGCAAACGTTTCACCACCAATCGAGGTGACATCATCAGTGCATTGTTACATAGCGTGTAGTAGCGTATCGTAGGGAAGCCTCAGTGAGAGTCCTAATTCTAATGCAGGGGGCAAATGAGGTGCAAACTAAACTGCTGGACGTAAGAGTCAGAAATTTGACAACGAATACAAAAGCGGCACTGGTTTCGCTCACATGCAATATCCGATGATGTGGTCCAGTTTCAATCATTCGGAACACCATTGGAGTTGGTATGCATGGGTGACGAACCGCGACTCCTTGTGGAATATTGTGAGTAAACCACCCTATATAATGACTAGTGATGGTCCAAAGAAGAAAAGAAAAACCCAAATGTTGCTTAGTAGAAGCTATAGAATGAGTGAGCAGATAACGATGGAACCCGTGCACGGATATTGACAACCAGCACAAATGCTCACTCTGTAGCAATCGGCAACGCCGAATTAGCCAAAACTGGACCCGAAACCACTGACCGACGAGTGTTCTGTATTAGACCATGCAGGAAATTAGTGGTCTGTATACGAAATATCCGACGAAGTGACGGAGTGTAATGAGACATATCATGCATTCGCGGAGTGAAGATCGAATGAAGCATAAAAATACATCTCTCGACAACGTAAACGACGCGGCATCTCACTTATAAACTAACCTTGAGCACGGTAAAATGGATAGGCATGATGATGCGACATTTCGCAGAGGATCGGGGCACAATGAATGCACCGTGTAGCATCCATTGATTGAGAGGCCCGAATTGCAGTCGTGAATCGAACATGAGGAAGATAAATTCAATATATTGAGAATAGATTCCGAGCACCAATCCGAAAAGTCCACAAGTTGTTGACAACGCCGGTTGTTGGCCTCAAGAAGCGATTCCAATCGGATCTAAAGAATATGAGCAATGGATTGCCATGTACGAAGCAATAAGTGATGCTGTACTTCGAACATGTGAAGAAAAACAGGTCGGGTGTTTGGCGTAATCGACCGTGTAGCCCGAGGGCAGCCCGCTGAGAAAAGCCGCTATCATCGGAATTGGAGAATCAACACCAACCGCCGGTCGTAAATAAGCATACAAGTAGATCGGAATTTATGACAAACAGAGGGGAGTTTTGGGGTTTCAGCGTTCACGTATGGAATTTGAAACAACTACGCGGGCGTTACAATGATGATGCCTACCCAGTCGATCGATGGCCGAAGAGAGGAGGCGTCTGTCTTGTAACTTAAATGGTACCGGTTCGTATCTGCGTAGGACTGGGCGACTTCGCACTAACCTTGGCGTGGCAGCGAATCGTCGTTGCGGCGTACCGGCGTACTCCTTACGTATTCTATATTACCGAATATAAGCCCGTCCATATATAGGCCGACAGCATAACTTTACGATATCGAATCTGCCCAAAGTCGTGAGTCCGTATATTAGCCGACCCCCATAAAATCTATCGGTAAGTGCTTTTCTGTCATGTGCTCTCCCAAGTTATTGTGTGTGTGATTCTGTATATTGCCGTACATTTCTGTCACTCTTATCCGTCGCAAACGTCACCTGTGCTATGTACTGTGAATTTTCGCCACAAAAATAGGCACGTAGTGCTGCTTGGACACCATGCGAAAAAAATGTAGCACTTAAAATCCCCGTTTGGAATACCGTCAGTCACTAGCCGGTAGTGTTAAGAGGAGATAGGGGCATAGGTGTGCAGTTAATTCCTGGGTGGATTTTCCACGTGACTCTTTTTCAGATTGCGCATAACTGTATAGGCCGACCCACCCCCAACAACAGAAATGAAAAGTTGTCCAAAAATCATCGGCTTATATTCGGTAATATACGGTATTTCTTTTCTTAATATCTGGTTCAATGAGTGGGAAACGGGTAGGTCGGTTACGACAGAATGACACACGCTGTCCTCATACTTGACGAGCTCCATGAGTGTCATGTCGTTGTCGGAATCCTCATCACAGTGCGCTCTGCAGCGACCCAACGAAACTCCGTAGTGCCGGCGTACGGGACTGCAGAGGCTGAGACACCAGTATGACATTACTCTGCAGATGCTTGTCACTACTAAAAAACGTCGTCGATTTGTTTTCAGTTACCGCCGTTCAACGCTTAAAATTTTCTAATTACCATATTTGACAAGGGTATGCATATTTTCAACGTTATGTTAATTCACGTAATTGGTACGCTTATACGACATAAAGATAAGCCACTGGACCCGGTCTTGTCAGGTGGGCAATTAAACTCAGCGCGATAATTTGCGCTCAGTATTCGCACTCAATTGGTTGATAAAACTGTGATCGCTGCCGCAATGCAATTGACACAACCAGTATGCAATATCCTTCAAAGCACTGGCAGCAATTTCAAGGTGCAAAAACCATGGGTATCGTCGCACCGAGGCAACACACGAGGGATCTGTTCACAACTCACCGATGAAGAGGATTCAAGAGAAAGAGCAGGTTGGACATGGCCACCACAAACCAGAGCACTTGTACAATCAGGGCGTGAAGGAGGCCTGGATGCGTTTGACGAGTGTTCTTGTCGTCTCTTACGGAACGACGCTGAAATGGTGAGGTGCGAAAGCGAAGAGTATGCACGGTTAACAGTATGCAAAGCATACGAGAAAAGTTCGGATTGATATCTCTCACTGTTGAGTTAATGCGATCGATTGCCTTGTGAAGAGTAGAACAACCACTCTCTAAACAAGCATATCATTGGCTCAAGATGAGGTACAAAAGCGCCGGCCAAGTGTGTGATAGGGCTCGTAGTATTTGAGGCAACATTTAGTACACAAGGATCTGAGGCATTTAGTTGGGAGCCACTCCAATACGCGAAATGGGTTCGGAGTAATTCAAGAGTTTCGGTTCATGAAATTTCCGCAATGTGGAACCAGTAAAGCCCCTGCTGATGAGGCGCTTTGCTCCCAGGCACAAGGTGAGCATAGAAGGTAAGCACAAGGTAGACATTGTGAGCACTGGGCGACTTTGGTGCCTATGACGCAAAGAAAGCGGGAGAAACACCGATTCACGGTTCTCTGAAGCATGCGATAGCGACACCAGAAGTATGCAGGGTCTGTATGAAAGATGTGTTAAAGATATCTGAACATAATCTCGAATCCCCTAAATATATTAGTGTTCCCCACTGATAAGTGAACTCGTCTAAATCCAGGTACGCGGAGGACAATGCATCTGTCCGCACACAACCCAGTGAATCACATTTCTGGTAAGCATAGTGTGACCAGATAAACTTCAATTAGGCTGCCATGTTCAACCGCCGCAATGAGTTGGCCCTGAGGCGGCCGATGGTGAATAAAGATCACGCACTATCGACAAGGCGTCAACGCTAAAGCAAGGCAGAAAAAATATGCCAAACTATAACGATGTTAGAGAGATGCGTAGCTGTTTTGTAGCTCAAAAAAACGTCAGATTGAAATGAGTGCTGGTGACGTAGCTCACAATTAGCATATAACCAAAACAGACGTGAATTTATCTAACAATGCAATACAGTATTAAAAAACACGAAGCGGAAAAATAGTACCTCACCTGAAATGTTGTTACAGCGAAACTCGGACTCCAGATGTCTCCGCATTTCGGCGTTTAAGAAAGGTGACTCCACTTTCGGTAGTAGCACTAAATCATGCACTTGAGTGCAGCTTCCTGCGCTATCAAGACGGAGGCGCTTGGAAGGTGCTGGAATACCACCGGCGGATAGACAGCTCATAGTTTTCGAGCGTTTTGGCTTCACTGGAATGTCAGCAAAGTCCAGGTGAGCGGAAGAGGCATCCATGAGACCATTTGCTAAAACCGGACTCCTGGGGGAGTCTCGGCTACCGTGATCGATTTGACCATTGATGCCGTCAAATGTAAAATAAGTGCGTGATCCTGACTGAACGCTGCGATCGACCAAAATGGGGGACTGTACATCGGGAATATCGACAGTTTGAGGTTTCGGACAAATAACTTCTTTAAGTTGCTTTTCGGTTGCAGTCAACTGGCATATGCGCTGGCGAATGTAATCAGGAGATTGTAAGGATGTCATTAGGTTGAACCCTTGTAAAGTGATTTCCGAAAGTTCAGAGTCGCGCAGATGACGAACGGCGTGTATAACACTGTCGGGTGTAGAGTACTGGAGACCGGGGTAGCCGAAATGAGGTTGATTAGGCGGAACAAAAACAAAAGGGGCGGGGCAAGGCTTTTGATGCAAAGTGAGGTGTGAAAGAGCTTCTGAAAAAGCTGTCGAGCCTTTGGGACGTATATCCGTAAGGCATGGGTGATTGCAGATGCGGCAAGCCAGTGAAACTGTCTTGAGAAGATCGAGTAAGTCACCGGTTTTTGAAGCGTTGCGTGCGCTGTGAAAGCGTGTAAAATGGAACGAAATGGAACAAACAATAAAATAGGGAAAACAATGCACATCAAAGGAGTGATATGGGCAACCAGCTGGGGATATGACATGCATTGGGCAATAAAAATTACTTGTCAGTGATCATCAGGGGGACAAAACACAGACTGCAGATTGGTTTATCGTTTCAGAAAACCGTAGGATGCGCCTTGCCAAAAGGGATTCTATTCACAGCAGCTGGGGCCAGTGTGAGAAAGTTCGGTTAGCCATCAATATGGTGCTCATTAAGTCATCCGTTGTGCTTACTATTGCGCTGAAGACCGCTGGAAGAAGAAGCATGTGAGATGGCGAAATTCGCACTTACAAGTGCACCAATGGACACAGGCAGTATGGCTATATAATGCTCAGTGCTCTAAAGCAAGCGAACAGTGTGAGTCTGCGGTCCAGGACCTGATGATGATCAAATGAAGGTTTTGGATTCGATGAAATATTAAAAATGATCCATGGGAGGAACAGTGGGAATACACCTTCACAGAATGCAGGCAAGACTGAGTTCATGCACCTGAGCGAACTAATATGGCCGCAATTTACCAATACCCGAGTGCTAGCTATCGTTTTCGACCACACTGGACCGAAAGCGTCTATAGTACGACAATAGATGATAGCGCATCAACCGTATTATGTTTACAAATAGATGAGCGATCAGTCTCAGATCGAAATGAGTTAAAACATTGGGAAATTCAATAAATGAGAAACCGATTTTGGAAAGCATTCAATGAGGGCATGGGGTGCTATTGACAGTTGTAGACAAGCGAACTAGCTCTTGTAACAGTGCTTCACAAGCAAATAAAGCCACTGTGATAGGTTGAAGTCGCGACAAAGAATTGGTAACTTATTGGAGGGTCACTTTGAAGTAGACGTTGTGTGATTGAATTGCGACGTGCAATTTCAATGTGAAGTGTGATTCGCAGTGAAGTGAAGCTCGAGCAATTCCATCAGCATGACCGTAGCTGAAGCAGATGGAAATTGGCAACTTAGACCCGACGTGAAAGTAAGTACAGTTAGCCAAACCCAGCAAAAGATCCACCAATGTCATACGAAACGGCCTTGATTTGGAATCACACTGCGGAAAAAACTGGCTCGTGTAAACAATTAACTGAGCAGACTGAGTACAAAGGAAGGTTGGTTTTTCCAAAGGAAGCGTTCGTCAATTGCTGGGGCCAGATGGCCATCACGCAAGCGTTTACATCTATTACAAGTCAAATATCCCCGCCAGCACTCGCACAACCAATCTGCGGTAGTGTTTAACGTGTAGACAAAATACCGACACACGAAAAGAAATAAAGTCAGATAACCTGGTAGCATGGAACTGATTACCAATTGAAGAAGTTAGGCAACATAACAGGTAATGAACAGGTCTAGAAAGTAGCCATAAAAGTATAGAAAAACTTACGTTCTCGTGGACATCGCGGAATCGTGTAGCTGCCGTTGAAACGATGTCATCGGGCAGCGCACCACTTGCTCGTCAACGCACGCCTCCCATTCGTAGTCTTCGTCCAAACGAAGAACGAACGGTTCTAAGAACTACGCAATTAAGAATCGAGAAAAGTGTGGATTATTGTAACAGCAAAAAACAAACTAGATTGAAAACCAGAGGAAGAGTGTAGTTAGAAGAATGAGAGGTGTGAAAACTGTGATTTGATCGAAAACAGTGGCGCATTTAAGGACGTACAGAAAGAATTGTCTACACCCCCAGATATTCAACACAGCTGTGTGATAAAGTTGGATTTATCCGCACTAGATAAGCGAACAGGGACATACTATTGAATAGAGATGGCAGAGAAATGGATCAAAGAAAATGAGAGCACAGTAATTGAAATTCAAGTCGCGAATTTCAGAAAAGATTGTTTTGACGAACAGGTGCATGTCTGCTGCAACTCCGATTGAGGAAGTTGGAGCAACCACTAATACCACAAGAAATTTCGCCACCAATTAATCCAACTGATTCCCTCATTATCCTGTAGTTACCTCGAATGCAAAGAACTTCATAGAAGCAAGCCCGAAACAGTTACCAGTGGCGAAAATGCTATTGATTTCTTGCTCGACTGACTCGCCAAACTGCATGCTGTTGAATTAGCTATGAGGTAAAGTTGATCATTACACGAAACAGTGAGGTCACAAGGGACCCGTCTTACCGAAGCCGCCTTAGAATCACATGGTCAACAGCTGCATGTGGCAATGTACCGTTTACAATAGGTAGGCGCCTTGATCTTGAATGTCTTTTCATAGCACTGAGCTCAAGGCAATTACGCTTGACACCTAGATATCCTTTTCTCCCACCCAACTAATTATCAGCATCAAAAACAACTTGGATGAAAAGCAGCGAGTCAATAGTTCAAATTGCTTATTTTGGTGAGGTCAATGAGACTGACGATGGGGGATTGAATCCGAGCACTACCTATATATTCCGTATACTCTAAAGTGGACATCAGATAGGACAAGTGGATCAAAAGAAACAGAAAGGAAACATTGAGGAACACCTCGATAGCAAAACTTGAAAAGGAGGAAAAAGTTAAAATGGATTAGCTGATAGAGGTTAACTCAGAGTTTCCCGTAGACCTGCACATAGACCTGGGAATGGCTGAATAGAGAGGAGACTCTTAGAAGGGACAGCACAAACAAACATGAACAACTGACCCAAAAGAGGCACTCAAATAATGACGTCAATGATGGCAAGTCGCATGAAAGATCGGCGATGTCTTAAAATCTGCTGTAATGTAAAGATGCAAGGTAGCTCCAAAAAGGATAAAATCCATCAACGTCACTATTTGCCGAGGGACTAGTCGTCATAGGATGACACGTAAGAATCGTGGGAGCAACTGTGACTATGCTATTGACACACACCAAAACGGGACCGACGATCGACTAGCGTCAGTCAAAACGTACCGCTGCGAAAACACTACTTTGTGTTTGAGAGGCAAACAAGGTCAATATCGGGAAAGTCCTCATTCCCCAGCGACATTGGGGAGATGTTAGCAGACCAAGGGGACATATTTCGCTCCAACATAAGCAGTAACAGTGGACTTCCTGAGTCTACCGCCTCAGGAGATTCAAGAAACCAAGGTGACAGTGGACATGCAGAAATGAGCTTCGAAACGTTGTGCTCAAAGTGCAGATCGATAGAGTCAAGAGCAGAATAAGTCCACATTTCTCAGCCAAAATAACAACCATTGACGCCTTTCCTAAACATGTACCTAGTATCAATTGCAACAGTGCTCTGGATCTCTTCATATCCGACAGTACACATTCAGTCCGAAGTTCGTCATTAGTTGCAACTTCAGAGAAGCATGAACACCCGGACATCAGTCAACCCGTGGGATCATAATGTTTATCTCAGTCGAACTGATGTGAGCCTCACAAGGGGATACAGAACCATAGTAATTAGAAGGCTGTGACGATCTTAACGGGGACCCGGTCTAGCTACCATCTTCGACAGTAATGGTTAATTATTCAAAGTAGATTGACGGTACCACATAGAGGACATTGAGTTCGGATGATGCGTAAATTCTAACCTGAGGGTTCTGAGGAGACCGAAAAGGTGGAGGTAACTCAAGAGAGCACTAAAATATGACCGTAAACAGTCAAATCCGCAAGGCCGACGTGCATTGTCTGAAGCTGATCATACTATGGTATCAGTTTAATCAGTGGGCCTCGGAGAAGGCAATGCAAGTAATTGCACTGTGTAGTAGTGTTACGGTTAGGATGTGGCTGATATACAATGAACAAAAACGAACATTCTTATAAGCACAACGAACGTCTGCCGTCAAAAACACCATCAAGTATTGCTTAAATAACCAAAAGTAGCCCATATGGTCATATACATTACCAGTGGCGATACATTATATATTCCATAAATTCCACCACCAGTATTCTCTGTTACCGTTTTCCGTCCGCATTCTCAAAGTATATATATATATATATATATATATATATATATATATATATATATATATATATATATATACTTTGAGAATGCGGACGGAAAGCGGTAACAGGGAATACTGGTGATGGAATTTGGTGAGTGCATGATACTCTCCCGTAGCCCAACGTGAAAAAAGTGAGGTCCCCCGCAGAGTGAATGGGAGTTTGGTTAGGAAACGCACAAAGAATCTTTGACTCAGTAGTCTGAACTGAAAGGTCCAGATCGAGGTCGGAAATGTGAGTGCAGCGTACTGCAGAGACTTGTATGATGCCGATCACCAACAGACTTGAAAAATTCAGAACAGCATATGTATGATTTCAGAGTGTAGTAGATGATACAACCGCTCCTGTGGTAAACTGCAGGTGTGTCAAGATGGGTTTAAGGTTTGTTGTCCAGCACCTATACAACTTCAAGTATGCAAAGACTTACAAGTTTTGCTCTTTGGGCATCCATACTTCACGCAGTCAGGGCTATTCGCTTGACAGTGTAGTTGGATAGATATTAGGAGAGAATGTTAGCATGGAAATGCCTTCCAACTCGACAGTAGCGAAACACTAAGGCTACAACGACAAACATACCTTGAGCACCTGTCTCTTGGAAGGGCGTCCATCCTTCGGCTTGTTTCCCATTCGGCCACCATGTCTGAGGTGGACGGTTTCAAAAAATTCGGTAACCCAAGAACGATATTCGTTGGACTCAGTTGAGGTTTGAGACAGTAGCAACCTACATATTTGGAAAAGGCGAAATCCACAGGCAGATGACAGCAAATCAGGAACCGAGCTAATGAGTATACGGTGACCACTACACTGAAGTTCCGATACGAATATATTGATAGCATCGTAG